CAGCCAGCCGACTGGAGCACTGGGAAGTCATCCTGCTGCACCCTAAAGGTAGGAAACAGGGTGGCTAAAAATTAGCATTTTGCATGTGTATCTGTTTGTGTGTATCAGTGTTTGTATCTGAATGTGTATCATTATGTGTGTCTGCATGTGTGTTTGTATATGTACTTGCATGGGCGTCAGTGTGTGTATCTGTGCATCTGTAAGTATCTGCATATGTGTGTGTATCTGCATGTGTATCTGTATGTGTGTTAGTGTTTGAATCTGTGCGTCTATGTATCTTTTCACTAAACTTTTACAACGGTACATAAAAATACCACATACACACGCGCAAACACACATGATATCCCAGTAGTAGTTAATGCGGTTACAGAGGTTGTGTTTAAGGTTAGCCTAAAGACCTCCTAGCATTTAAGGTCCCCCTAAGCCTAAACATTCCTAGTTGTAATTGTAATACCATAACCAAAAAGGCCTGCCTAACGCTAACCTCGCTATAAATATCCCTAACATTATTATCCGATGCACACCAGAGTCTTCAACACCCCTAACTCCAAACACCTTATTACTCAAAGCAGCCCCAAATCTAAACAACCTGATTATGCACTAAAGTGAGAATTTAAAGGGAATTTCACATTCAAAGTAAAAATAGCCAAACTGGAGATATTTCCCCAAATCAGCTAATGCTTCCAGTTTGGCTACTTTGGCCTTAAATTTGACATTTTCAGTCTAGTGAATAACTGTAAATGACTTTAATTCTAAACACCGGATACATCCCTACCAATAAATTCAGTGGCTGGGTTATAACTTATATTTTAATATATTGAAGCCTGAATTTCGGTAAAGATGCTCCCTCTCCCTTTCCCCTCCCAGTGATACAAACACCTTTCATCATATAATTAGTAATGCGTTTTTATCAAAGTAAATGTGAGGAAAGTGTAGCACGTGTAGCATGTTGTTCGCAAATAATATGTCGATAAAGATTTGCTATAAAAAAAAAACCCTGCACACTGACTGAGCGGTGAAGCGGTTGCTAAGGAAGTGCATGGTAGCTTGGCAACCGCTCGATGCTCAGTGTGTAAAGCAAACTTGGAGATCGTGGGAGCGGTGTTTAGGAGGCTGAGAGACCCTGGCAGACCTCACTGTAAGAACTGGATGGTTATTATCCGAGATACGGGACGGGTATGGGGGGGTCACATATTACAACAGAATTATCCACTGACAACTGCTGCTAAGACTGTACTGTCACCTATGGGAAATGTATGCAGCAGCAGAGCTACACTGAGATCACTGATGGCATGCTCATGGCACAGGCACTTTATTTAATGCAGTGCACATATATCTGTAGGAGCTACATGACTCTGGCATGCCATGGCTTGATTCAGAACCTGTAGCCTGGTAATTAATTCTCATATCAAATATTAGTGGAAGTTATTTAGTTATTTAGTGTCAGACAGGGTTTATGACTAAAATGTGAATTCCATGTAACTATTTTGGCCTGAAACTGATAATCTAAATACTAATATTCTAATAATTCTAGTACATGTTCAATGCACAGCATTGAAGTAATCTAGTGTGTGCAAGCTGAGGTGAAGCTTAATATCTATTTTGTCAAACTATCTCCATTGAAGTGTATTTGTGCTGGATTGTTCTTTTAGGGTATATTCCTTGTTTTAATAAATAACTTTCAGAACATTCAGTGGTTAAAGGGACACTATGGGCACTGTAACTGCTTCATGGTATTGAAGTGGTTATGGTATCTGTGGTTCCCTGGTGCCCTGCTTACATTCAGTGTTAAACTATTTTTAATGGTTTAATTAGTCTGAGCAGAAATTGGTGGAAGTGATTGGCTGAGTGTGTTATCTTTCCACTTTTAGTCCATCACATCTGCCCTGTACTGGTATAAATTTGTATTACTAAAGAACTGTGTAATTTCTACCTTAGCCATACCTGCAATTGGAGCCAAACTGTTACATTGCTCGAATATGGTTTAACATTAAATGGAAGGACAGTGCCTGATAAAAACAGGCACTATAACCAGTTCAATGACATGAAATGTTTATAGTGTTTTTATAGTGTCCCTTTAAAAGGCTTTGGAGGTTTTGACTGAGTGCCTCTTCCAAGTCAGTTTCTGCGCTGCTGCCAGGGGACACTGGAGCACTTCCAACGGACTAGGCTGAAGCAGTTATAGCTCTGCAGACCTTCTCTGCTGTAAAGCAGTGAGTATAACTTTGCCCCACACATTAGTTGAGACTGAAAGTGGGGGGTAGAATAATCTTTACTGCACACATGTATACAGAGAAGTGTTAAATCTCTCTGCAAGGGATTCTCTATACCATGCTATACACAGTACAATTGTTCCTCCCTGGTGCTTCTCTGTTTGGGGACTTCATTAAGTTAGCCCAACCCAATAGGTGCCCTCACAGTCCTGAAGGGCAAACACGCAAAATGTCCCCTAGAATTCCCTTGACACTGAACATAGTGACCATAAACCCTCTCAGGGGTTTTTGGGACCAGGACCATAGTCTGTGGGCAGATGGCTGATCTCAAAGCCTCTCCAAAAGTCAGTGGCATCAGAGCTTCCATCACAGGGATCATTCACTAAACATAATTATACATTGTATATTTCCAGATTGGCTATTTGCCATTAAATTTGCAGTTCAGGAAGCGGGGCTTGGGACTGAAGCTTAACGGACGTCCTCTATGTTAGCTCCCAACCTCGATAAACCTAATCCACTGATATCTCGTAAACCATTCACCATCCGGTCAGATTAAGACCACACAACGACCCGGGCAAATGAGAGGAGCAGACGCCCTTCTTTCAACCCCCAAAGTCCGGGAAGGTCAAACTCAAAAGCAGGGCCTATCATCTGCCAGCCATCCACAACCTGAAGACTCTCCTCACAGGCTATCGGGTGTATGATAACCTAAACACAGAGGGAGAAGACACCTCGCCACCCAAAGACACCTCCACAACAATGAGGCGCTGCACACAGAAGTTGCAGCAGTGTTCTTCAGCTGAACAGCCAGATATTGGAGTGCTGTTGCAGCGACAGGCACCATCCAAGACAGCCGCTGCAGAGGCCTCACCTGCTCTGATGTGGCCAACACCACCAGCCCACTCACCAGCATCATGGGCGGAGGGGGAACAAAACACCATGCTCTCAGCCCTTAAAGACCCAGGGTATCATACCACAAAACATAACCTCCAACAATGGATGAGGGAACTCCAATACTTACTTGCCATGGATATTGGCACCCTTATGGCAGATGTTCGTCAAACCACTGAAAAGGTAAGCGCCATGGAGGAGAACATTCTCAAATTAAACAGCGGTGTGTCTCACCTCACAGACACACTGCACACATTACAAGCAGCCCACCAGACTCTAGCGGTATAGGTGTCCACGCAACCACATTAAGCTCCGCAGTGTACCTGCAGCGGTCCCATCAGCTGAACTGCCACACTTTCTCAGGAGACTAATGACCACCATCCTGTCTCCATCAGCTGCCTGTAAAATATTTCTGGAGAGCACATACCGCTTATTGGCAGGGCCCATCCACAGAAGCTCGGGATGTTATTCTGTGCTGTGCCACATCGCAAGACAAAACTACCATAATGTTGGCGGTGAGAGGCAAGACACCCATGGTGTTTGATAATGCCCAATTGCTTTTCTTTCAGGACTTAACAAGGGCTACACTGTACTGGCGGAAAATGTACCACCTTACCAGCCATCTGAAAATAGCGCATACAATATCGCTGGGGGTCGCCAAGGGTCCTAACGCTCACTCATAATGGGACTACCCACAGAGCCGTGGCTGAAGAAGATATACCCGCAATCCTCACTTCATTGGGACTCCCGGAACTGCCTATGACCAGGGCCATGAAAGGCCCATCCCAGATTGGAGATCCTGCCACAGCGGTACTGTTCACCCCTCGACCTCTGGGAAGCATGGATCCAGCTCACTGAAGGAGACCACACTTATAATTCCCTGTGCCGGTCAGACCGGACACAGTCTGAGCAGAATATTGTTATGTTATGATTTTCTTTTCAATATGATTTTTGTCTCTCATTTTATCTGGGGTCCTGTGGTCCTTCTTCACTTGACCTTGGCTAGTGCCATGACCAGACTTAGTGATGGTGGCACAGAACCACATTAATATGGAAGAGCCCCCCAACTCCCCCATCCGCTACCCCCTTGGTTAGGGGCACCTACAATACTTGCAGCATACTCTCAGTTAATCGTGATGTGTTTTACATTGTGCAATGGCCCATGGCGGTTCAATGTTTCACAGGCGCATGGGGCGTCCCATAAGGCTTTGATAACTGGTACCGCACAACTACAGGCGGCCTATGCTCGCCCCATGTTCCCTAAAATAATGTATATCTACTGAGGTGGCTCACAGTTGCATTTGTAGAGTCTCAACTTGTTTACCTCCTGTTATTACCTTTAATTTACTTTACCTCAATTTGCAACAACCGCTTAAACATTAAGTCTCAACCGCTATGTATATGATCTTGCATGTTGGCTACACTCCTAAAGGGGCCATAAGCCTGGGAGTACCCGCTTACACTGTTACCAGTTCTTGTAACGCAACAAGTTAAAAAATGTAAAATTGTGTACAGTTCCACTAGACAAGTTATGTGATACCTCTAAACTGGTATTATGCCATGATGCATCTTTTACTTATGTCACTGCAACTCATGATATGTCGACATGCACCTTCAAAATAAAGAAAAAATTAAAATGTGCAGTTAATTTGTTCTCCACATTTGTTTAGTGAATAAACCCCTCAGACTCAGAATACAGTCTGATTTAGTCAGGCAATATTTTAATTTTCTTTTTCCACTCTTTTGGGTCCATTTCAAAATCACGTTGGTTTTCTGCATTGATTATCTAATATGGCTAAACCATTTAGTGACACTTTTTTTTTTTTTTTTGCAGCAGTAGGTTGAACAATTCATCCAGATTTCAGTGCTTGGGGAGGATCAATCAAGCATACCATCATGGCAACCGAGTTGCTTAGCAATAAAGAAATGGGGAGCAGTACCTACACTTACTCCAGCCACCCTCGGGTTGTGCAAAACCGCAAGAAATATAGGACACTTGAACTACCAGTGTGAGTATCATATTTCTGTAGTTCATCAAATTACAGATTGAGCTAAATTCCACTACCACCTGTATGCTGATGACACTCAGATATACCTCTCCCCTGCCGTCCTGCAACGTGTCACTGCTTGCCTTTCTTCCATCTCTGACTGGATGTCCTCGTGCTTTCTGAAACTCGTTCTCTCTAAAACTGAACTCCTTGTCTTTCCTCCTCCTCCTAATACTGATCCTCCTCTCTCCCAGAACAGACAACAGCCCAAATTTGGTGGGTCCCCGCTCAAATATCAAGCTGGTTTCACTCATCTTGTGCTATTACAAAATTAACACTCAATTATTTTACTTCTTAAAACCTGCATGTGACATGTGACAAAAATATAGCCAGTCAGATAATATGTGCTATTTAATTTCACTCGTTGCTGGGGCCCTGGTTGCTTAGGACCTGGCAGGAAGAGATTTATTTTTTTAAAGAAATAAAATATATTTGAGCTTGTTAGCATTTCTTCTTTTTGCCTGCAGTACCAAACATGACCACATGAGTGTAGGAAAGAACATTAATTTCAGTAGCGTAAAAGGTCAGTCTAGGCACCACATCCACTATGTACAAATGTGGTTATGGTACTAATGTTGCACATGCTGTGCCCCAGTATGTTGTCATATCACTTGAAAACATGGCAGCTCCAGACACCATCAGCACAGGTTGCATGTCTTTTCCTAATGCAGAATTTCCACATACTCATTCATAATATCAGTTTCATCCATTTCAATGCATTTTTGGATTTAAAGTATGCATGATATGGAGTTTCCTCATTAGCAAAAGTTGAGCAGAGGGCCTCTATGACACCTAGTTTGGACATACTGCAAGAAAACGTTAAAACCAAGAACTGAAGATCTATGCCTACAGCCTTGTTGCATAAACCATTAACTGAAAAACATATAGGTCTACTGGCGCCTTGAAACTAATGTGAAAACCTTAAATTATATAATATTACTTATAATCAGCTGCTGCTTACTAAATTAGAAGACCCACCTCCTACTTATGCTGGCAAAATTTACCAGTAATGCTCTGAACATAACTGAACAAAGTAAGCTGCACTAAAAGTGTCAATTTAAAAAGTAACATTTGCTAAAAATGTCAATATAAAAATACATTATGAACAGTATTCATAACAATATAGAAGTTATTGCAGTATAGAGCAAAAATGAAAACAGATGTATAAACAGATTAATGAATAGCAGTAGTATATAAATTTAATAAAGGCTGCATCTTTGGATAGGAAAAAGAAAAGAGGGGTGGCTATAATCTTCTCGAAAAGAATAAATAAGTTAAATATGAAGAAGCAGATATAGAGGGCCGGTATCAGATATTAATATGTAAGATGGAAGAGAAAGTTTATACTTTGGTAAATATTTACCTTCCTAATGTACTACCAACTAAATATTTCAGAACGATTATAGAAAAAGTAGATAAGGTTAAAATAGGGCTACTAGTTATTTCGGGAGATTTTAACTGTGTGCTAGATACAGATCTAGATAAAAAAAAATAGTAAATCCATAACTAAACATCTGATAAACCAAGCTAGGATATTGAGAAATATACTTCAAGAAAACAACCTATTATACATATGGAGGGTATATAATCCAGAAGAAAGAGAATATACGCACTTTTGAAAAGTGCATTTTTCTTTTTCTAGAATAGATTTTGTATTGGGCGAAGCAAAGCTAGTAGACCAAATAAAAGATATACATATAGAAGAGAATATTTGGTCAGACCATAGCTATATTATTTTTAATACAAAAGCTGAAAAGAAGTATAGACCTAATACGACTTGGCGTCCAGATGATAATATTCTGAATGATAATGCAGACCAAATACGAATTGGGGAATTGATAAAATGGTATTTCAAAGAGAATAATACGGAGGAACTTTCGGCAGCAACAATATGGTGTGCATTTAAAGCGGTTGTAAGGGGGTATTTGATTAAACTTAATAAAAAGATTCAGAGAGAAAGAGGTCAAACCAGAGAAAAGCTATATATAGAATACTATTTGCTGGCTAGAAGAAATAAAAGGTTGTTAACTAGCGATTCACTTAAGCAACTTTTGGAGATTAAAAAGAAAATAGAGAACGACTAGAAAAAAATTTGGAGAGAATGAAAGTAAACTTTTATTATGATAATATCAATAAATGGTTAACTAAAAAACTGAAGAAAACAAACAGTAAGAATATGATTAGTAGTATAAGAAAAGATTCAATATTATATAAAAAAACAGAAAGTATAGCCAAAGCATTCCAAAAATACTATGAAGAACTGTATAACTTACCTAATCAACCAAAAGAGGAGACAATAAAAGAGTATTTGAGGGAAATACATTTTCCAAAGCTTACAGAGGAACAAAAAAAAAATATTAAATGCCCCTTAGCAAAAGATGGAATTTATAGCTGCCATTAAGACACTTGAGAGATATAAAACTCCTGGCCCAGATGATCTGACCAATAGATTCTATAAACTGTATGGAGATATCTTGGTAGAATACTTAACTAATACATATAATGAAATCTCACTGAAAGGTATAGGTCCAAAAGAATTATTACAGGCAAATATAATCCCAATTCATAAAAAAGATAAAGACCCTCAAGAATTAAAAAGCTATCATCCAATCTCGCTTATCAATGTGGACTCCAAATTATTTTCATCCATACTGGCGGATAGATTTAAAAAAAAAAATAGTTAAGGATTTGGTGGATAGAGATCAGGTAGGGTTTGTCCCTACTAGACAAGCGAGTACCAATATAAGAAGACTGATTGATTAATGTTTTGGATTGGGGGGATAGAACCCAGATTCCCCTCCTGACCCTGTCATTGGATGCAGAAAAGGCCTTTGACAGGGTCGGGTAGGGATTTATGATGGGGGTTTTGAAGGCAATGGGTGTAGATGCTCGGATGTTGACAGCGATAGGTTCTATCTACCAAAATCTGATGGCGAGGGTGGTGGGTATGGACTTATGCTCAGATTGGTTTCCACTAAACAATGGCACCCGACAAGGGTGGCCGTTGTCCCCTATATTATATATCCTATCAATGGAAGCTCTTGCCATCAGAATAAGAGATAATCCTGATATTAAGGGGGTACCTACCCCTGATAGAGACCTAAAAATTAGCATGTATGCAGACAACACAATTTTGACTCTTACAGATCCTATCCAATCGGTCAATAACTTGATGAAGGAAATAGAAGCATTTAGCAATATCTCAAATTATAAGATAAATACAGAAAAAACAATAGTGATGTTTAAAAATTGTAAGATAGAGTAGAAGAAGGAATTTTTAAAGACGCATGGTTTTACGGATGCTAACGGTAGCTTTGAATATTTGGGAGTAATAACGGAAAAGATAGAAAACATGACAGAAACTAATTTTACAAGGCTTCTAAAATCCACCGGGATATCGTTAAAAAAGTGGAATCATTTGTTTTTTAGTTGGATGGGAAGGATAAACATAATAAATGCATTCATAGTCCCAATATGGACCTATATTTTTTTTTTTTTTTTTTTTTTTTAATTTATTTATTTTTTTTAGAATGGTTCCCCTAAAAATTCCCTTACCATGGTTGGAGATAATACAAAGGATTTTCAAGAATTTTATTTGGAAAGGGAAAAAACCTAGGATTAGCTTAGACCAATTAACGAATACTATAGGGCAAGGAGGGGTAAACTTTCCAAATATTGTAAGACACTATGAAGCCACCATTATATACCATATCCAATTATTGGGTAAAAAAGATTCTGAAAAAACTGGATGGTTTGGAATAGACTCAATTATTGAATGAGAAGGAATTAAGAAGATATCTCTGGCAATCCAAGAATACTGGGAAGAAAGTTAAAAATATAGTTTTAAATCATTTATTTAATAATTGGTTTATGATAAGGAAAAAATTTAAAATTCTGGGTAATATTTATGGAGATAGAAATATTGGAGGCCTTAATGCCCGATTTAAGAATAGATACTTGGAAAGATCGGAATATTCAATCATTGGACGACATAATAATAGGGGATAAAATGAAAGACTTTCTAACTCTGTCTAAAGAATTTACCTTCCACAAATAGATTTAGGTATCTAAAAATAAAGTCCTTTGTAGGGAAATCCCTTGATAAGGGTAAAACTACTAGTAGTGGTCTAATAAAGCAAATTTTTGGAAGTGAAAGCCTTAGGAAAAATATGGCTAATTGTTATGCATTGATAAGATCGGCTCCTAAAGACATAAGGTCTAAACAAATAAAAAGATGGGAAAAGGAATGTAATTTAAAGATTGATCTCACGAGCTGGGGTAATATGATGATAAAGGTAAAAAAAAATATTCATAATACGATTCTGTTTGAGACGCATTATAAAATATGTTATCGTTGGTATTTTGTGCCAATTAGACTAAATAGAATAGATCATAAGGAGTCGGACATTTGTTGGAGATGTGGGAGTGAAATCGGAAGTTTTATCCATATTTGATGGAGTTGTAAATTAATTAAGAAATTATGGGATGAGGTTTTCAGAAGACTATATGTTTGGGATAAAATATGGATAGAAAAATCTCCAACCTCTGTGCTTCTACATCTCCACTGGCCTGAAATGTCATTATATCAACAATTTTTAACTATACATTCATTCATGGCCGTGAAGATTCTGATAGCAAGAGGCTGGAAATACTGTAAGGTTATTGAGTGTAAGCACTGGGAAAAACAGCTGCTGTCCCAGATTAAGAATGAGATGTGTGTGTGTGTGTATATATAGGGGGAAAGAAAATGTAAAGAAATATGAGATGGGAATAAAATGTATACAAATTATAGAAGATAGTAGAAACCTAGGAGTAGTTCACTAAGTCACTTCAGTGTATTGACCTGTTTAAAAAATAAGAGACATATATTGTTTCCTATGTATGCTGTGTCCTTATCCCACTTTGTATGTGTATGAACGCTGTATGCTTAGAAGTAATTGTCTAGATTGTATGTTAGATATTTATTGTTGTTTTAAAGTGGTATGAGATACCTGTAATTTATTTTTGTGTAAAATTAAAGATTTACAGAGGGAAAAAAAAAAAAATAAAGGCCACCTTTAAAAATAAAATAATTTGAATACTGTTTGGTCTTGTAATGGATTCTGAAATTTACCTTGCAAAGAATAAATTGTTAGCAATAGGTATCAAATGTAGAAAAGTTTTCATGTGTAGGAATTAATAAACATAATACACCCTAAAAGTACAGGTTGTGCTTAAGTACAAATGATATCTGTGGATTTAAAACCTATCTCTTGTTTTGCACATGGAGATTACCTTGCATAGTCATTGCATTTGCAGTGGGCATCAAGAAGAGTACAATCTCCACATGTTAAAAGTACAAAAAAACAACCTTTATTATCAATTAAATATATGCTTACAAAATTACTGTTCCAAATGTGCTTAATACCTCTGTTGTGGTCTGTGCTGAGCAGAGGTCCAAGACTCACATCCACTGCAGGCTCTCTTTCCCAGGCTAAGCGTCCACCATAAGTTCTGCTTTCTCCGTTACCTTGGCAACCAAACATGCTTCATCCATCACTGGAGACTTTCTCAATGGCTTGTAATGGCAGTAAATGTTATTTTTATAGTCTAACTTCGTGATATCAATTATGTATTTTGTGTTAATGAATATTATCTTTACAAATTACACCATCCCATAAGAAAGTATTTGTAGGCTATTGCACATGCGTGGCAAAACATCGACCTGCGCCCATCAGCATGTCCTCATAGAGATGCACTGAATCAGTGCATCTCTATGGGGAACATTCAGCGCATCCATGCACATGCATGCCTTCTATATCTGAAAATTCAGAGGATGGATGCCAACAGAGGAGGAGTGGATATTACCACTGGAGGCAACTTTGGGGTCAACCCATCAAGGTAAGACTGTCTCCAGGGGCCTCCTGGCATCATAACAGCTTAATTTAGATGAAGTTGTTTTGGTGCCTGGAGTGTTCCTGTTAAGTGGGCAAATTAGATTTAGTGCTTTTTATATGCTATTGACTCTGTGGAAAGAATGCCTATGTATATATTGTACATCTAGAGTCAAATTGTCATTTTATCTCTAAAATTCAATTCGCAAAAGATTAGCATTTACAGTTTGTAATTGTTATTTTGGAGACATATTTTGTATATTCTCTAGCTTTCAAAATAAGATGAGTATAGAATTGTTTTCAAAGATATCAAATAATATGACACGTTGTTTAAACAAATTTTGTCCAATACATTTTTTTCTTAACCTGCCAATTTTCCTGGTACACATGATCAGCTATTACATTGAATCTAATTATTTACAAATATTACAAACAATTGTAGCGCAATACAAAAATTCTCAGGATGCAAATCTTTGACAGATTGCATATTTCATAATGGAGGGATGCTGTGTTTAATCACTTTATTTCTGTATGCATGTAAGTTTTGTAAAATTGTTGGATTTTGTGATTATTTTCAATGCAATCTGTCTTTTTGTAACAAGTGAATCCAGTCACCCTGGCCACTTCAATAATTTGAAGTGGTCATGCTGCTTGATGTTTGAATGTGCGGCATTCCACTGAAAAACACTATGCTTTTGGAGGTGTAACTCCACAACCGGCATTTCATTAGTAGCCTGTTCTGCGTTCTGGCTTGGCTAATGCAATTACTATGCATAAAAGGTACCTCTCATCAAGGGGGCCATGCTAGCAAGGAGTAATACAACCAAAAATAGCATATTAATAAAAAATAAAACTGGTGTAAGTAGTGAATCGTTTAATTCATATCAACTTTGAAAAACATTGGAAAACTAAGAGGGTACTACCTCTGTTGATTTTGCTAGATTTATTTATGTATTTTGCATATATTTTGATACATGTTCATGCACTAAAACTGGTACAGCTCCAGTTTGAAGTGAAAATTGATGGAAAGTGATCCTTAAACTCGGTTGCATTTTAGGTTTGTGGATTCATTATATTTACTGCCACAAACCCCTCCATCTATACATTATGGTTTTCACTATTTTAGAATTACTAAGCACTATTTTACTTGGATCTTATCTACACTGTGATGTTTATTGTATATCTAACATGAAGAAGCCTTTAACCCCTTAAGGACCAAGCTTCTGGAATAAAAGGGAATCATGACATGTCACACATATCATGTGTCCTTAAGGGGTTAAAGACTCAAGTGTAATATAGAGGTAAATCAACATATACGGCTTGAACCAACACTTAACCTATAGGGGGCATATTATTGGTTCTTAGGATGGCCAGGTTTAACGCGAAAACAGACAAGAGAATATTGTCAAGATATTAGCAAAAGGACAAGGACACGAGGTACAGATAATTATTAAACAGCCAAGTCGGGGGATACCAGAGAGCAGGATAGTCAAGACAAGCCGGATTAGAATACCAAAATATCACACCAGAGCAAGGAATGCACTATTGGGTACTGCAGAGACGAGAACAAGGCATTGGTGATCTATCACAATGGACTTATGTAGGTATAGTGGGATGGATGCCGTCATTCTTATACTCCCAAAACATATGTGAGCATTGTTAACAAGGCAACGCCACTAAACTTGTGTTATTATTTTGACGCACAGGTCAACTGTCATAAATTTACGCTGTGACACAGCATCAAAATTTCTGCCAGGCACAGGCAGTACAGGTTAAGGATGCCAATTGACCTGGGACCAGGTAATAAGGCAGGAGTGAGCAGGTACCGTAACACCAGTATAGGCACATATAAAAGGTTACACTGAAAATCAGATCTGTGTGCTCTACCTAAGAGGATAGTTTGGAAATGTGTCAGATCCAAATTAATATCCAAACAATTTAATGGAGATTTAAATGATAAAGCGGAGATGATTATCATAGTTACGGTTGACCACTGAAATTCATGTAATCTATTTTTCTTTTCCTCCAGAAACAATGAAACCTACAGTTATGGTAATATTATGTATGACCGAAGGGTGGTACGTGGCAATACCTATGCTCAACATATTTTACCTGTGGTAAGCAGAACGATTCTATATTTTATTAACTGTATTTTAACGCTTTGCTTTGAACATTGTAACTGAAGGTGGACCTGACTATTCCCATGGCTCATTATTTTACAGTTTACCCATGTCAAATACGAACTAAACAGGTTTATCATAATAACTACATAAAACCAAATAAAACCATGAGCATAGAAAAAAAGAAATAATTACTTATTTGATTTTAATACCACCACGAATAGCTGCATCCAGGCTTCTCCTACTAAAGAGTAGGTTGAATCACTAGCTACATTTTTTTTGACATTTGTTTTTATATTTCATCATTTTTGTTTTTAAACTCTCTGGCTACTTAGACATCCAGTATGCATATCTTATTTATGGATATATTTATTTTAAACTGTCATTTAAAAATGATCAACATATATGCTTAGAATATCACTATGTCTAAATTTGTAGACAGAACTGAACTAGTTTGATATGTTAGAATTTTGGAGCGTGATTTTTAGCACATGTGGGAAAAATATCAGAATTTGCCTTAAAAAAAAAAAGCAGTGAATACCAGTTTCAGACAAATGTTATCATTTTTAGCAAATTTTACAATTTAGAGGAATATTGCTACTTATGAATCAACCTACTTTTGAATATCATACCGTCCCAACTAACAGCATTTTGGACTTGCTCTAGTCTAGAGTAATATTATTTTTGACCACATGGAGGCAGTTGGTATTACTGTTTTAAGCAAAACACGTTAAAAAGTGAGAATTCAAGGTGAATTTCAAAATTAATGACATAGCTGAATGGGAAATATAGTTGACTTGGGGAATTTTTCCAGTTTGGCTATTTTGACCTAAATTTGACATTCATTTTAAATTCTCACATTAGTGATTAACCCTTTTAATCTTTAATGATAGTCGAATTTCGTTATGTTCTGCTGGGAGAACTGCCAACAAACTCTAGATTCAGAGATTAAAAAGCAGCTTTCCCCCCCTCCTGTTTTTTCAATTCAGCCTATGATGATCGGCACAGAGATAAAAAAGAAAGTCTGTACTTGCATATCTGTTATTAGGGAAAACCACCTCTGGGTATCTCTCCTACTTGCTTTCCTTTAAGGGAAAGCAGTGCCTGTAAGGGGAAGGAGGAACAGGCTCTGCATGAGAGCAGCCAGCATCAGCAATGTGAAAAGAAAAAGCCATAATTCATTATTGCAGCAGTTTTGGATAGGCAATTAGAGAATAGAGAGAGAGCGAGAACAGATATGTTTTATTTACATACTATAAAGCATAGAGGACTTTTAACCTGTTATAAGAAGCAAGCCTGTGCTTCTCAAGCAGGGGTATGCAGGAGAGGTATCTTTTACGGCAAATGCAACACCCACTGAAAACTGCTCTCGGCAGGAGTTAAGGTAATGGAAGTAAATATAAATAAATAAATACACGCTTTTAATAGTACTAAAGGAACACTATAGCGCTAGGAATACCGTGAAAAGTGTGACAAAGAGTGTGAGGATGTCCAGCATCATTTCACACGAGACAGTCACTAGAGGCAGTCTTAACTCTTTAATGTAAACGTTGCCATTTAAGAGAAGAAACACTTAATTGTATAACACGAGCAAAGATACATGATCAGAAAACCTATGCCTGTTAAGATATGTTCACTTTAATAAAAAAAACATAGGTTACAAGTTTAGTAACAAAATGGTTTAATAAATCACTAGTAAAATCCAAAATAACACAGTAAACATATGTCTTGCAGTTGGGTGTAAAAAGGTTTGGTTTTGATTGTGTTTTGTCTCTTACTCACCCAGTTGCTATTTTTGGTTAGGTTTTGTCATTTCATGAAATGTATGCTTAAATAGCACTAATGAACTCTGTTTAGAGATAAGGAAATCTGCCTTTCTTGGGCTAACATAGTTACATTGCTCTTTTTCTGATATTTCACAAAGATGTTATCCTAAGGCTGTAGTGTTCTCCCTAATTTAATTAGAGGCCACCCTAAATGAAATTCTAAAAGTGTTTGACTTGCCCTTTTTTCAGTGCCAAGACTCACCTTGTACCACCTCCCACTCCAGTGACGTCTCACAGACAGACTCTTCTTTGTCTTCTTGTCCAATCTCATGCTTCTTATAGAGAAGCAGTGGTGATGAGAAGTGAATGTCGGGCAACTGTCATTCGACATCCTCATGCAATGCGTAAAGATATTGAATGTTACATAAGCACGCCTGACTCAAAGCACCTCTACTGGCTGTCCAGAAAACAGTGGTCCTTTAAACTTTCCAAAAATAAAACCTAAAATACATGCAACACTGTTAATTAAAATGTAGCAATATTAGGTGCACTCACCTTTGCAGAACTGTAATCGTTACTAGTTAATGTAGAAGACTCCGTACCTCAGCCCAATCAGTTAGTGATACTTTAAAATAATCTAATCGTGGGAAAAATCCATATATAGTGCAGACTAGACTTGTGATCAAAACACTTTCAGGTGCTTTGAATGAATTAAATACCTGTTAATTCAGGATTGCCTCACACGTTTGCCCATAGATTAACAGGCATTTGATTAATTCAACACGCCTGAAAAGGATTTGTGTACAAGGCTAGTGCAGACTGCTAAAATTAACAAATACTGCTTAAAGCGCTACGGAATCTGTTGGTGCTATATAAATGGCAATAATAATGTCAGGGAAATATAAGCATTACAGAGAGCAGCAAAACCGAAGACAAGATATAACTCCGTACTAGGAAAACACAAAGAAACACTATAAATGCACTATGCCCATGAATGGGCATCATACCAGTGGAGTAGTAGGTTTATATAGTTGGACTCGGTGGTGTCATTTCTATGTCCCCCAAAACATATGAGTGCTGCAAAATTGTGAGCCAATTGACTCGCTGTTGCCTTCAGAATGGCGCACATATGAGGTATAACAAAAGGGTTTTAAGGCGCAGCATTCTGTGTCAAAGTTTGCTCGAATTGAAGGACTGGAGGGAGGGGTTTTAAAATAAGGGGGCAGGAATGAAATGGCAGATGTTCACGCTAGTGCTGCAGTTTTTAGTAGGTAATGTTACATTTTATTATTTATTGTCAATTAATGTTCTCATATTGTAATCTCCAGCTCTAGAAATGAACTCCGCCAATTTTTTAAAATTAAGTCAGTCCTGTGAAAGCCTTATTACTGTTAAAAATACTTCTTTAAAAAAATTTGTGACATTTTATATACTCCTATAAATTATATTATACCTTGTTCAGTCTGCACAACCAGACCCTGTGGAGCTTCAGAGACAGCAAGAATCCCATCGACGAGCTTTGGCAAAGAAACGAGCCAAGGAATTGCTGAGAGCCAGATCACCAGAGCCTGTAGAGGGCCGCAAACACATTGATGTACAAACTGGTATGAGGCAAGATGGGGACACTATGCTTATTGTTTATGTATTTATTTTCAGTTTCAGCTTATTTTTATTAACAAATGCATGTTGAATACATATTCACAAAGCTGGGTGCTAGATTCTGATAAAACTATTATGTAATAATTGATAAGAAGAAATCAACACTCACACGAAAATTCTGATTTTATATCTTAGACGACTATTTCAAACACATTATTTTTAAATGGAAATGTGATCACCACTCATGATCATATTGTGCTAAACCATCCTATGCCTTATTGTCCTCTGCATGAAAGAAGAACCCAGAACAAATAGTGGTAGAAGATACAGTTATGATAAAATTGCAGTGTTAAAGCAGATTAGCTAAAATTGCAGTGTTAAAGCAGATTAGCTTGTTTTTAACCATGTACAGGACTTACGTTTACTGAGAGATAAGTAAGCAGTATGTTTCTTTATATGCGGTTAGTAGTTTTTTGACTTTCTATACTTCTAGAAATATTTATACTGAAGAGATCAATTGAATGACAGCACAGTGTAAATTTTTAGTTCATCTTATCTTTGTTGTAATCCTTCCCAGAGTTATACTTAGAAGAACTCAGTGATCGGATTGAGGAAAAGGACATGGAATGCCAAACAGATGCCTTTTTGGACAGACCTCCCACACCTCTCTTCATACCTGCAAAAACTGGTGCTGATGTTGCTACCCAGATTCTGGAAGGAGAAGTAATGTATCTCTAAATAGAAAATATACTTCTATTGCTTATAATATGCCTTAAGACTTCAAAAGCTTTCAGTTTAACAACACCCGAGCATACACCTAAATGCCACCCAGGTCATAACAAATTAACAGTGTGAACATTTTATGCTGAAGTGAATTAGTGAATTGTTAAAAGGACACCCTAAATAGCATAACTATTGTAGTTTAATTGCCAAAAGAGAATTGCTGCATTAATCTTGAGAGGGATGTAACAAAAATCCAGGGTCTCCCTCCCCCTCTTTGACTGCATTGATCATACCTAATTTACAGTTCCTATTTCACTGCAGCCCTTCTTTCAGGAAGGTGTCCACCTATGCCTGCAATGTGATTTCTAATGCCGTTACAAAGGTACGGCTCTCAGTCCTAGATTTGTCCCAGGGCCAGAGGGATCATGCAGCCAGCCAATCGGTATGCCAGCTCTGTGGCTGGGATCCCTAAAAATCCACACAGGACATAGTTCCAGAAGGAACTAACATACTTTATTTTACTAGCCCATATGTCTGTTACATAAAGCTTGCTGTGACAAACTTAATAAAATACAAATAGCCAAAACATGTTAGAAAACATAAAGGAAATTATAATACCATAACAATGGTATATCCGATGCTTCTTTACATTTGCATCACAAGAGTTTTTAAAGAACATGGAGTGGGGTTGGCATGGTTTCACGATGGAGCTGCATTTACATGCATCCATAAGTTCCATTTTCCATAGCAGAGAACAGTAAGCACAATTCTATCAAACCTCGGTTCTTGTACCTGACTTACTGGCTGATAGTACCAGATGTCCTAGAGGACTGAAGCAAAACTGCCTTTTTTCTGAACCAAACATCTACTGCCAAAAATATTCAGCAATGCAGAGCAGGCCCAAAATAGTGCCTCACCAGACCTGGGAGAATACTCAGAGCCTTCTTCTCCAAGCTCCCTGATGGATGCCCAGCCAGTCACTAAAATAGAAACAAAAGCTTTTAGTTGAATTATCAGCCACACTCACTACCACCATAACGCTCCAAACCAATTCTTGCGCTGAGTAATGGAAAATAAATACATGATCAAAGCCAGTGAACAGGTCACAGAAGATGGATGAATTTGCATTGGAACACAGTTGTCTTGCTCTGTTTGCTAGACCGGGCAGTATAGAGGCAATGATCAAAACGCCAGGTGACATCTCTGGCATTACTCCCTATACAGGTCCAGATTATACTTCCTATTTTACTATGGATCTTTCCACTATAAGACCACCATGGCTCTTTAGACGCTCTTCCACTGATGGGAGCATTAAGTAGTGACTGCTCCACCTGCTAGACTGGAGGAGTGAAATGCTGCTGAGAACATACTAGCGCAACTTGGTCTTCACACTTATTGTGTATTTTGGAATTGCGATGTGGAAAAGCGGATTGAAGGAAATGTTCACTTTTTTTTATTTATTTTTTATTTGTATTTTATTATTTTCAAAATGCAAAATGGGATACAGAAGGAAAAAGGGTAGGTTAATAGAGTATTTTTCACAATGGTTAGCGTTTGGTAGAACAAAGGACAATTTTGTTACATGTATTCTCTTGTTACAGTAATATTTAAATGCTTGTATAGTATATTCTTATATTGGCCTTGTTTGCGCGATTGCCTTTATTCTTATGCGGTTAAATGTCTAGGTAATTGTCAAGGTGAGATGTTCTCTCTTTTACCATAAGTGTTGTTCCGTAGAGTTGGTATGGCATTGTTGGCTACCTTTTGTGTGTACTGTATATCTCTTTGTTGTTTTCTCAGAGCAAGTTATCCCTGAGTATGTGAGTTAATAGTGTGAATTAATTTGGCTTTGTCCCTGTGGACCACGTGGGTAAGTCGGTGGGTGGTCCCCCATGTCGGGGTTAGAACTTGGTATTGGATGAGGAAGAGGGGGGGCTTGAGTCATTTGGGGAGGCAGGGGGGGGGGCGAGTGTGTCAAATTTGCGTTTTTGTCAGTGTTTGAGACTGGGCCTTCAGTATGCTCACAATGGGAGCGATTTCTTTTGTTTTGCCTTTTTGTTACTGGTTCATTAGCTATTCGTATCCATCCCTCTTGTCTCGTCCACCTCCCCTCCCCAGTCCCCACAGTTCATGTCAAATTTGAGGTTTTTTTTGTGGAGATAGTATCGCCATTCTTTCATATATTTTGTACTGGGTAAGTTTGGTTTGGAGCTGAGCTAAAGAAGGGCAGATGAAATGTTCACTTTTTTTATCATCATAGATGAACTTTATTTTCTTTCCCTCTTTCTCTGCTGCCTGACACAGATGGACGCTGCCGGCCCCTCATGAGTTAATCGATCAGCTATCTCTTATGGCACAAGACCAAGATAATAGTGGTTTGTGGGATGAGGAGGGGGTTTTTGCACATGTCTCCACTACTTGCCCCCTCTCCCTGGCCTGCCTGGGTTTCCTGAGATGTGGTGGCAGATATTTATATAAGTGCTTTGCCTCTTGGACGGTCCTGGTGCATTGCAGCGTGCCACCGTAGCTGCTTTCCCTGGTGCTGTTCTGTCATGTTTGTGTGTGTGGGGGGGATACCTTTCATATAAGTGCCTACAAATCCATAAATGCATGTGCCTTGCCGCGTGCCTGTACCAAAGATCTAAGAAGGCACTAGCTTACACCAGGCACTAGCTTCCTAATGACTTAACTGGGTTAGTGGTTCTAGGACCTCTTTCTTGTTTTCCCTTCTTTTCTCCCACTACCACTCACTTTACCTGGGCTGCCATACCCCTAATATTTAGAGATCCCCATGGATTGAATGCCTTCTGTCTTGGGTTTGGGGAGTAGCTGGACTCTCTCCCATCCCGACGCAAGAGGCGCCTCTCCTTTGTTAGTTTTCCTACTTCTACCATTCTCTTTCTCTCTCCTCCTTTCCTATAGCCTATACAGTTATCTTTCTCTCCTACACATCCCCTTCTTTTTGTTCTATCCTCCCCTAATAAATTACAGCCATGGCTCCTCCCCTGAAGACTCTCACATTCTATAGGATTATTGCACAGGGTCTTAACTCCCCTAACAAATGGCCAAGAGCTCTGTGTGAACTCAGAGCCCTGCATGCATGTGGTGTTTTATCAGGAGATACACTTTCATTAGATATTACCCAACCAGAATTTTCGCCAACAACCCAGAGGCTACAACTAAGTGAGTTGCAATCTCATTTTCTTCAGACACCCCCTTTCAGGTAGCGCATGAGACCCAGAGGGAAGATACCTTTTTGTTTATAGGGAAGATTCTAAAGACCTATAGGTTTGCTAATATTTACCTCCCAAGTAGTGGGCAAGACTTCTAGAGTATTTCAGTAAGGGCATCACACTAGCAGGCATCTGAACGTACAACTTGACCCAAGGCCTGACACTTTCTCGGATGTATCGCATATATCTGGCTAGGCATTTCGTGGACTCCTATACCCCCTCTGTCTCAGCAATGTACGAATGATAGACGTAGCACTATAGAGGACTTTAACATAAGTCGACTCTGCTCTCTGTTGACATGTTTTCACTTCCACTAACTCTCCCGCTTTTTAGCTCGTTTACCTGTCCTACCGACATTGCTCCGATCCCCAACCAACTTTAAGTCATTGTGTCTGCAGACCTCTCTCCCTGCACATGATCTCTCTTCTATACGCAGGCCTGATCTCGCCCTCCCAAGACGCCCCTTTTTGGTATAGAACACCAGAGAGAATGGCTAGATATACATGGGACTAGGATGCCGAGTGCTGGCAGAGGGGGCTTGGCACATTGTTTCACTTATTGTGGGACTGACAAACACACCCAGGTACACAGGTAGCAACAGGTACACATCATTCTTGCTACTCTTACAGGTCACCCCATTTCTCTAACACCTGAACTGTATTTGCTCCATAATCCCCAGATACCCATTAGATCTTACTGCAGGTCAGTACTCCTGTTCTTGGTAAATTCCGCCCACAATCTCATACCAGAGATTGGATTGCCAGAGTGGAAGACATTTAATCTATAGAACTATGCCAGAGGCACTTTGCAGCGATACAACGCTGTGTGGTTCCACTGGATGCAATGGCTGTCCTCATGGGTGAGCTAGGTATGTGCAGATGTCTAAGAGTTAATTAGCTGTTCTTCATTCCCCATGGGTGCTCATTGGCAAGTGGTTAGCTTCCTGCCCACACCTCCCGCCCCCCCCCTTTTTTTTTTTTCCCCCTCTTGCCCGTTCTCACCCTCCTAACCCCTTTTTTCCTTCTCTCTTGTCGCACCTTTCTTCCTTTTAACATTTCTGCTTTTGTCATTGCCTTACCTTTACCATACATGGGCAATATCTACCTCTGCAGAGCCAGCACATCCAAATACAGCCCTGGCCAATCAGCATCTCCTCATAGAGACGCAGTGAATCAATGCATCTCTCTGAGGAAAGTTCAGTGACTCCATGCAGAGGGTGCAGCACTGCCCCCAGGAAGCACCTCTAGTAGCCATTTGAGGAGTGGCCACTGGAGGTATCCCTAGGCTGTAATGTAAACACTGTTTTGTTTTTTTTCTCTAAAAATACAGTGTTTACTTCAAAAAGCCATAATACAATAAGTTGTAGTTTTTTCTGGAGACTGTAGTGTCCCTTTAGGATATTGGACTTAACTACACTGTATATTCTGTGTGCTATTTTGATGTTGTGTAATTATGCATGAATACTGCTGCTTCTATAAAGCTTTTGAGAAAACAAAAATGCTACCACTGAGGATAAATTTTTAGTGAAAAATTGAGATTTCTATCTAGTCTTCCACCAGAGATGATCAACCAAAAAGTGAGGAGAACTGTAAAAAGACAGTCATCCATATACAAGAAAAAAAGAAAAGAGGAGTCTCAGACCTGAAATGTTCGGCTGTACACTACCATACTTAGATACCCATTAAAAAATTAAGACTGAGATTCAAACACTTGTATTAAGAACCTCCACCATGTGCCTTAAAATAAAAAATAAAAGCTTTACTCACCTTTTTCCAGCACCTGGCTAGTGACCCCATGCCATGGAGGAAGCATGGTAAACTACTGATGTTTCCATAAATATCTGTATTACCTGCATAACCTGTATAACACTGTCTAAAATTTGCTATGCGCAATGACACAAAGATGGCAACATTAAACCAAGTACTGTAAAATAAAAAATAAAAACCTGATGGGTTTTGTAATTCCAATACATAGAGTTAATCACTCAAATAAATAATTAGGAAAATTTTAAATGGTAAAGCAACCTAAATTAACAATTGTTTTACTCCCCACATCCACACCCTAACTATCCCACTTCATCCCCAGACTAAAATCATTGGCTTTTTTTGTTTACAGAATTCTAAGCTGGCTTGTCTGTGCTTCTGTTTACAGCTTTTTGACTTTGACCTTGAGGTAAAGCCAATGCTGGAGGTTTTGATTGGGAAGACAATTGAGCAGGCTCTCCTGGAAGTAATGGAAGAAGAGGAACTGGCAACGCTGAGAGAGCAACAATGTGCCTTTGAAGAGCTTCGTAACGCTGAGCTTGCTGAGGTGCAGAGGCTGGAAGAGCAAGAGAGACGGCACAGAGAGGAAAAGGTGTGATTTGTGTAACTTACTGATTATTTTTTGGGGGAGGAGAGGGGATTTTATTCATGTTGTTTTCACTGGAATCTAACCATCCCAAGAGAAGGTCTTCTCTTGCGTGCTTTCTTTCACCCATTTTAGACCCTTCTTCCAACCTCTGACCTCTCCAGATCCCTATGTATAGTATAGATATTTCAGATACCTTTGCTTACTTCAAATTACATTTCCAACGTCTTGTTTTGTGGTGCATTTGCATACTGCAATGTGTTTGTCTTAAATATAGATAATTAGCTAAATAGCTATGTCTCCCACAATTTGTTTTACATTTTATTTATTTTTAATATTAACAGACCATTATAATGACATATATTTTATATATGTATTACAGTGCATAGGTGGCTGAAAATTATTCTCTGGTGAGAACCACATATACCTATACAGATTCTAAGCTGTTTATTGGAGTAAATTATTAGAAATGGATTCACCGATATATTGTCTGTTCTGTACTCCTGCCTCCTTCTTTATCTCTTCAAAGCTATTGTTCCTTCCTTCAAGCATCTACATAATCTTCCCCAGATATGTGAGGTCTAGAAGCTAAGAAGAATATGAATATATATATATATATATATATATTTTTTTAAATTGTTTTTGTTTGGTTTTTTTTGTTTTTTTGCTACACCACCACTGGTGCCACACTTCCCTGACTTTAAATGCACATTTTGTTTCTGGACCAATTTCTATGCCTTTCATTCCTTTTTCAATTTATTATAGAGGTAATGCTTAAAAATATATAAAATGTTAAAATAAAATAAAAAATACATCATAAAGTCAGAAAAACGTTAGCTTAATGAAGCAGTTTTGATGTATAGATTATGACTCTAAAGTCTCACTGCTCAATTCATTACCATTTAGAAGCAAAATCATTTTTGATTCTGTTTATGCAGCCATAGCAACATATACACTGGCTGTGACTGACATGGCCTGCACGAAAAAAACTTGTGTATAGAAGAGTTAAGGAAGGCTGTGTAAGTCACATGCAAGGAGGTGTGACTAAGGCTGTATAAACAAAGTGCTTGAACTCCTAAATGGCAGATATCTGAGCAGTGAGACTATAGGGGCATGATCTATACACCAAAACTGCTTCATTAAGGCAACGTTACTTTGGTGATTATAGTGTCCCTAAAATGTGTAACTTACCAGCAGATTACTGTTATCCTCTGTCGTTTCACATTCAGTTAGTGAGTGGTTGAACTATCTTGGGCAATTTATGGCCTCCAGTTGAAATCCGCACCACCCATAATGCCAACAGGCAGTTGGTCCCCCAAGGAATGTATTGCACGAAGGAGGCTTTTGTGTCATCTCTTTTCTTATCACAGTCTCTGTTCCAAATTAAAATTTATTTTATGGGAGTTACGTTTATTTTTCTCTGTTTTACTGACAAATTGAATACTTATTCCAAAATTATGTACGTTTTTACTACCACTATATTTACTGCATTTAATGCCCCTTTAATTCTCATTTTATATTGCTTTTTCTTGGATTTCTTATCTTTATTTTCCTGTTGTCCTACCATGTATCTTCATGTGTTTCTGTGCCTGTCCTGTATCCTCTTCTCCTTCTAGCACTTTCTCCAATCAATAACTTGTTCATTGTTCACCTCTCTCCTAGTAAGCACCACAGTTTCCAGCTCTTTACACTCCATTCCAGTGTTCTCTCCCACACCAAAATGTTTTCCTTCCCTTACATATGGTTTATTCTTCCCACACTCACAGTGAAAGGAGAGGCACAAGGAATGGGCACCAATAGATATAGGCTAGGTTTTGGAGGGGTGTGGAGAATGTACCTGCTGGTCATATTGACAGGGCTGCCGAGTGGGTACACTATAAGGGTTTGAGCCAGGTGACAGGGCCGGAGAACAGATTTGAGTCCCAGGTCGACCAAAAAATATAAGGAAGTGGTGCTCTAAATAGTTAATCTTTGTGTATTAGACTATTAATTGCACAAAACATTCTTCTAATTTGTTACATATTTTTTGTACTGTTTCTAAGTAAAATAAAGGCATATGCAACACATATAATTTATTTTATTTTGTTATTTTTCAGGAAAGGCGCATGAAACAGCAACGTGAAATGCTTCTCAAGGAGAAGGAAACTGCAGAGAAAGTTGCAGCCCGTGCATTTGCACAACAGTATCTTGCTGATCTTGTTCCTTCTGTTTTCAGCAGCCTTAAGGAAAATGGTTATTTTTACGACTCTGTAGAAAGAGGTATTTTCACTTATAATTATTATTTATTTAAGTTAAATTTTTACTGCAAAATGACATAAGAACGTTCCATGCAATCCTTAAAAAAGTGGTATTTTTATGGTATAAGGATGGCATGGAACATCCTTTGCTTTTGAAGCAAGCAGGGTTAAATCCCTGCTTGAACCAAGGAGACCCAGTCATTAATCAATATGTGGGGAATTATTTAGTGGTCCCTGTCTGATAGATGAGCTGAATGCAGTACTTAAAATGAACACTGCATGTAGCCCTTTAAATCAAAGTGACTGAATGATGGTGTTCAGCCGCTGTGATGCCCCATACAGAGGGAAACCTCCAGGATCTCCCTGCATGCCTCCTCCTGCCAACAACAATCGACAATGGGCTGTGCCTGCTCTCCAGCACTGATAACATGGTGAATGGCAGGGACAACATGCAGGAGCTGCAGCATGAGAGGAAGATCTACCTCTCATGCTGCAATCACTCACTAAAGAACCCTCTTTACTGTGTGAGCTGGAAAATCCCTCTGCTGATGTTTGTACTGATGTCAGCAGATGGAATACATCTGAGTTAGGGTTAGTTAGGCTAGGGTTAGGCTTATAGAGGTAGGGTTAGTGTAAGTAAAGGGTTAATGCTGGGTTAGGGTTTATGCTCCGTTAGGATGAGTGTAGAGATAAGGATATGGTATGTGTATTGTTAGGGGTAGGGTTTATTTAGGGCTAAGGTAAAATCTATGTTGAGGTTTATTCCTGTAGTTGCACTTTATTTGTAAAAAATATTATAAGTAAAACTGTAAAAAAAGTGTCATGTTGGACGGTTGCCTCCGCCCTTAAAGGGTAATTGATGAGCAGTAATATTTATGAAATCATGTTGTGTTTAGGGGTTCAGTGCTTGTATAATGTGAACCATAACTTATATCTGCATGCAATTGTCTCATCTGTATCTGCTGTCTGTCAAAAAGAGAATCAACACAGAGATTTTTTTTTTTTTTTTACATTGGTAACTTATATTTAACTGTTCAAGGTTCGCAAAGTCCTAACTAGCCAGGCCTAAAATAACTCACCAGCTCAAATGTCTACAAACATTTATATGTTTGTAAGGCAGTGTTGTGCATTGATGTGTAGGAATAACGTGTTTTAATGTATGTGTGGTGGGTCAGTGTGCCGTGTGAGTGCAGAGCGCATTTCCTTTGGAAGATTAGTGTGTAAATGTGCAGAGTGATAGGGGTAACATGATGATAGAGCTAGCTCATGATGGTTCAATTATTTTACTATCAAAACTTTTTAAATAAATGTGATGTATTAATTCATTTGGAGTGTTTAATTTTTTTAATGTTTAAGTTCAAACTTTTTATAAATAATTATAATTTTTTAATACAAGTTTAGGCCCAAACATGTCCTTATCAAATTTTGTATTGCATAGATGTTGAAACCGTATTCATGCCGTGGTTGATGGAAGAGGTGGAGAAAAACCTTCAGAAGAATAACTTGGGAAGAACAATGCTTGACTGTAAGTCATAAATTATATTCTTAAACAATTCAAAAAATTTATCAAAGTGTTGTGTTCTGCAAAAAACAGAGTATTACAGTGATACACTAGTTTCCACAATGTTTGTAACAGGCACGTTCCATTGGTAACTCTTCCCCTTTTACATATTTGTGACACTTTTCAGAACATGACTCTTAGCAAGTCCTATTGATGCACTGAATAAATTGTACTAAACCTTAGAAGGAGGAGGCTGTTTAATGTACTTTCTTGGACTTCAACCCCGCATTTTAATTTTGTTTTGTTATTGCCATTTAACATTTGAATTGACCACTCTTAACATAAGTGACTTCTTCCTCAAGTCGCGTTAGCCTGGCTACAATCAGAGAAAAACTACACCAAAATGAAGATTAGTGTTGTATCCATTCTAGTAAGTTAGTCATTTTTAGCTAGACACTTTTTTTTTTTTTTCATGTCCAGTACTTTAAAATTAGCTTACGAAAGTATCCAATTGAGATTTATCTTTCTAATCATAATAATATCATATGATATATAATCATATCATAATTATGACTTATTATAGTCATAACTATACGCACTGTGTAACAGTAATTTTCTTTTAATTTCAGTGTTAATACGAGAAGTTGTGGAAAAGCATATTGATGACTTCAGCAAAATGGAATCCCAAGATAAAGCACCATTGGACATTGCGCCACAAGCAAGTGGTAGGTATTAAAAGGTGGCAACATGTGTAACAGCTATTGTTAAATTATCTATATTTTTTCAAATAAAAAAATGTCAGTGGTATTACCATTACTTTTTTAATTTATTGTTGACTGTTTAGATCTTTTACAGTGTCCTTTAAAACCTTTCCCCAGATCTAAGAATAATCCTACTGTTAAAAATGACAGTCACTAATTTATTAACTTACCTACATCAATGCAGCATTCATTTCAATATTGGTTTGTTGGTAAGTCATGTGGTTTGAAGGGACATGCCAAACGCCAAAACAACTGTAGCATAATGAAGTGGTTTTGGAGTATAGATTATGCCTTTGTAGTCTGTTTAGTTCTCTCCCAATTAGGAATTAAATCACTAGACCGAGCCACTCCTTATCAATGGGGGCCAAATCAGCCATGGAGTGTAAATAGCACAGCACAGTTAAAATTTAAAAACTTTATAGGTACCTTAATTCAGTGGTTGCCTACTACTTACAAACGTAATATTCTAGCACCACCTGACATTCTAGCCAAATCTTAAACGTTTTGCAGAATACTGCACCATATGCCTGCCTCTACAGACATACCTCTCACTCCAGAAAAATACTTCTTTATCTAAGATATCCACACAGCTCACCAAAGCACCAAGGGAGGCATATGGTAAAGATATCACTTCCTGTTTGTAGTTTCTCTGACTGTCTGCAGTCAGGTTGTGAAAAAAGCCGCTCACTAAGTATTGTTGGGGCTGAGACTGTGTGCATACTTTTGATAAGAAAGTCTTTCTGGCATGAGGGAGTTATGGCTAAGGAGGCAGGCTTATGCAGCATTATGCAAAACATTTATTTATTTGTGCAAATGCCATAATTAAAAAAAAACAAACAAAAAAAAAACAAAAAGAGCTTGCAATAAATACAGCATATTAATGAGGCCACAATCTATCAAATGCATTAAAGTTGTATTGATGTTCCTCTAAGCGGATCTCTGATTATTGCTATTTACAAAAACAAACAGTAATTGGTGATTATCATCTGATTACATTTAAAGCGACACTCCAGACCTCAGAAGCACAGTAGCTTGCTAAAATGCTTTGTGTGGGGGCGTGGCTCACCGCCGAGCAAGATGGCCACATAGAATTTTGCTCCGGCACATGGGCTCCAGAACGAATGACAACCAATATAGCAGAAATCACTCCAAAATCAACGTGTCTTAGCATAAGAACAAAAAAGCCTCCTTGAAAAACGACAAGCAAAACTTTTTCGGCCACAAACCGACAAACTTACCGAGCGGCTGGCCCTACGTGACAGCACTGAGAGCGTGCCACATGGCCTCTCCAAATACACCGCTGCCACCTGAAAGCCTTGCCAAAGACTTCTTCAAGCGCGCAATGGAAGCTATGTCCACCAAGCTAATTACCTCGTGGTAATCCACTGCAGATCAACTGAAGACAAGTCTTATGCCTCACTAATAGAGTGACCCGCGTGGAAAAGGAATGCAAAGAACTAACCTCTGCACAAAATAAGATGGCTGACCACATCCAAGCCCTGGAACACAGGCTGGAGATAATGGAAACTCGTATGGTGGATGCCGAGGAAAGGGTGTGACAAAATAACCTGCGCCTAAGAGGAGTCCCTGAAACCATACTGCCAAGTGACCTCCAAGTATATCTGAGGGGCCTCATGCACACCTATGCACCGGGAATACCTGCAGACTTGCTGCTTGTGGACAGGGTCCCCAAACCGAAATATCTTCCGGACACAACGCCCCACCGACGTCCTTCTCCGGGCACATTACTACCACATAAAGGAGCTGGTTCTTTGATTCAGCAGAAGCAAGCCTGACCGGCATAAGGAGTACAAAAGCGTACGCATACGAGAATTCAACCAAGTCACGGCTGACCTGCGGAACCACGGAATCCAGAGGCGGAGAAATAATCACTATCCACACCCCAGAACAAGGGATAGCTCTGCTGAACGAATGGGGACTGAGGACCAAGTGACCCTCGAGTGCTGCACACTCCCTGCTCCACAATACATCACCTGGCACAGCGCAGGCTCATGAACTGCGCCGCTCTGTGAGTCCTTCATAAGTCGCTAGTATCACCTTGCTAAGCATATATTTCAGCCTATTATATATTTGTTTTGGTTAACTCGTAGCTATTAGTAAAATCTCACAGTAAGTATGTTCAATTGCCACAGTCATAATTTACACAGTATATATGGGGACAGGCCTGAGCCCAGAACCTCTGACCACCCGCTAGCAGACCTTACAAAGCCACTGTGACCAACCCACAACCCATATTGCGAGTTATACATGCTTAAAAGCGCGGCCATAGCCGGGGCAAATGACTGCGGTTGTGCGGCCTGGGATGGAGTAGATGCAGACAGGGGAGGCCACCTGGCGGCCCTGATCCAAGACATGAGCTGGTCCCGGGCACTAAATCAAACAAATGGATACTGTAGGTTCACTCTAACGGGGACTGTCTCTGCGCTAGCAACGCTCAATTCTGTTGAAGCCCGCTCAACTTCACTTGAGGAAACATGGGGGACATAGGACCTAGCCACCTAACCGATCCAGCATAGATCCCTACTACCCACTCCCTAGGCCGCAACATAAGTGACTACTTCCTCAAGTCGCGTTAGCCTGGCTACAATCGGAGAAAAACTATACCAAAATCAATATTAGTTTTGTATCCATTCTAGTAATTTAGCCATTTTTATCTAGACACTTTATTTTTTTTATTTTTTTGTGTGTCATGTCCAGTACTTTAATATCAGGTTACGAAAGTATCCAATTGAGATTTATCTTTCTAATCATAATAATATCATATGATATATATATAATCATATCATAATTATGACTTATTCTTACCATTAATTTTGCGTTACTTCATAACTATACGCACTGCGTAACAGTAATTTTCTTTTAATTTCAGTGTTAATACAAGAAGTTGAGGAAAAGCTTATTGATGACTTCAGCAAAACGGAATCCCAAGATAAAGCACCATTGGACATTGCGCCACAAGCAAGTGGTAGGTATTAAAAGGTGGCAACATATGTAATATCGCTATTGTTAAATTATCTATATTTTTTCAAATAAAAAAATGTCAGTGGTAATACCATTACTTTTTTAATTTATTGTTGACTGTTTAGATCTTTTACAGTGTCCTTTAAAACCTTTCCCCAGATCTAAGAATAATCCTACTGTTAAAAATGACAGTCACTGATTTATTAACTTACCTACATCAATGCAGCATTCAATTCAATCTTGGTTTGTTGGTAAGTCATGTGGTTTGAAGGGACACGCCAAACGCCAAAACAACTGTAGCATAATGAAGTGGTTTTGGAGTATAGATTATGCCTTTGTAGTCTGTTTAGTTCTCTCCCAATTAGGAATTAAATGGAGCTGCCCATTGCAAACGCCCAACAAGTGAACCAAACTGCACTATACACAGTGCGATCAACTGGGCACACAGGGGTACATGTACCCAACTAATACACTCTTGTGTCTCAGGGGGAAGAGTTGTTGACTTTTGGGTTGCTCCCAAAGGGCCACCCACCTCACAAACGTTCTACAATTTTATCTTAAAAAATAAATAAAAATAAGATATATTTATATAGTTTTATGAAATGATTTCTGCTTCACTATGCAATCCACAATGGAGCCCAAGAAGCCACCCATTAGGAATATTCTACTCCTAACACCCACGGTATAACTTCTGTACCCTGACCACCAGAGGTCGTTTATACATAAACACCACCTGAACGCAGTTGGTGCCTCGACAACACCAGACCATAATACACGCAAAACCATACATCCAGACCATGAAGATATACTCTCATAATACCAGAGGCCTAACCACCCCTCATAAAAGGCGTGTGTTGATAGAGGACGCCAAGCCCAACAAAGCAGATATAGTGTGCGCACAGGAGACGCACTTCGTCACATCTAGAGTTCCCATGTTTGGGCTAAAGGACTACCCAACACAATACCATGCAACTTACTCCTCCAAATCTAGAGGGGTCTCCATCCTCTTCCACAATTCACTGACGGTCGAAATATTTACTATCAAAAAAGACAGCCAGGGAAGGTATCTAATACTCTCCAATATATCATCTTAGGAATATATAGCCCAAACAACCACCAAAGAAATTTCTTGCACAAGGTCTTAGGGAAAAAAACACACCTTAGACTCCCGAGTAGACATAACCATACCACACAGCTCACACAGATAAACAACCCTCACAGCAAACTGCAAAGCACTCACAAGACTACTCATGGAGCATGGGCTGTACGGTGCCTGGAGAACACAGCACCCGTCTGACAGCGACTACTCCTACCACTCGGCAGTGCACAAGATCTACTTCAGAATTGATCTCATTCTAGTATCTGGAACGCTCCTTCCCCACATCTCCCACTGTGACATAAGCAACATAGTCTGGTCTGACCACGCCCCAACCACCATGGCCCTAGGGAACCACTACCAACACAGAGGCAAACCTCCCTGGCGCCTCAACGACACTCTCTCTTGCAGGACACCCACTTTACCAAACAACTAACAGAACACATCCAAACATATTTCAAGCTCAACGCTACCCCGGACACCAATATCACCTCTACCTGGCAAGCCCACAAACCAGTAATTAGGGTCCTACTGATTAGTCGAGCCACGTATCAAAAAAAGTGTTCACAGCTACAACATCTCACTCTATTACGAAAACTGAGGGACACCACCAATGCACACTTCCTACAACCCTCAGACGAAGGTAATAGCCAAAATAACCTACCGTATCACTGAACTATCCCTGAACTATCCCTGAACAAGACCACACACATACTAACTAAATTGAAACAGAGAACCTACTCCCAAGACAATAAGCCGGGAAAACCCTAGCTAACATGCTCTGCCAAAAACAAGCCAATTCCAGAATTCCCTATCTGGGCACCGGTACAAAACTACATAACCCCTAAGATATTAATGAAGAAATGGCAGCATACTACCACAAACTCTACAGTCTTAAAGAGGACAGGGCCTTACACCCATCGAACACCCAAGAATCACAAACCTACAACTCACAACATTACCAACCCTGACAGATACGCAGGCAGCAGCTATACAAGAACCTATCACCACACAAGAAATCATAGACACAATTCAGGCACTCCCGTCTGGGAAATCCCCAGGCCCAGATGGACTTTCAAACTTGTATTACAAATAAATCACCCCTTCCCTCGCACCCCACCTAGAGGCAAAATTTAACAAAATTATCCGCAAAGGCACCATGCCCCCAGACATGCTAATGGCACACGTGGCCACACTTCCGAAACCGGGCAAACCACCGACTAGAAGTCAGAACCTCAGACCTCTATCTCTGTTAAACATGGACTTCAAACTGTTAGCCAAAATATTCTCTAATTGTATAGCGCCACATTATCCTTTCGCTAAGAGGTGAGGACCAAGTGTGCTCCAAGTGAGGTCTCACCAGTGTTCTGTACAATGGCATGAACACTTCCCTCTTTCTCCTGCTAATACCTTTCCCTATACAAATAAGCATTCTGCTAGCATTTCCTGCTGCTCTATTACATTGTTTTCCTACCTTTAAGTCCTCAGAAATAATCACCCCTAAATCCCTTTCCTCAGATGTTGAGGTTAGGACTCTATCAAATATTCTGTACTCTGCCCTTGGGTTTTTACGTCCAAGATGCATTATCTTGCACTTATCCACATTAAATATCAGTTGCCACAACTCTGACCATTTTTCTAGTTTACCTTAATCATTTGCCATTTGGCTTATCCCTCCTGGAACATCAACTCTGTTACATATCTTAGTATCATCAGCAAAAAGACATACCTTACCATCAAGACCTATAGCAATATCACTAATAAAAATGGGAGAATGGGTCCAAGTACAGATCCCTGAGGTACCCCACTGGTGACAAGCCCATGCTTCGAATATACTCCATTGACTACATCCCTCTGTTGCCTGTCATTCAGCCACTGCCTTACCCATTCAACAATATTAGAATCCAAACTTAAAGATTGCATTTTATTGATTAAAGATTAAAGCCTTCTATGTGCAACAGTGTCAAAAGCCTTACTGAAATCTAGCTAAGCAATGTCTACTGCACCACCCTGATCTATTATTTTAGTTACCCGATCAAAAACATCAATAAGACTAGTTTGGCATGATCTCCCTGAAGTAAACCCATGTTGTCTCTGATTTTGAAATCCATGTGTTTTTAGATGTTCAACAATCCTATCCTTTAACATGGTTTCCATTACTTTCCTCACTACTGAAGTAAGGCTTGCTGGCCTATAGTTGCCCAACTCCTCCCTACTACCTTTCTTGTGAATGGGCACAATATTCGCTAACTTCCAATCTTCTGGGACTACTCCTGTTAACAATGATTGGTTAAATAAATCAGTTAATTATTTTGCTAGTACACCACTAAGGTCTTTTAATAACTTTGGGTGTATTCCATCACGGACCATTGACTTATTTGTCTTTACTTTTGACAGTTGAAATATAACCTCTTCCTCTGTAAACTCAGATGTAACAAATTACTAATTTGTCCTTTTTACTAAATGAGGCCCCCTTTCCTTCATTTTCATCTGTAAATACTGGACCAAAATATTCATTGAGGCAGTCAGCTAGACCTTTATCCTCTTCTACATACCTTCCTTCCTTTTGTTTTTAATCTAACTAATCCTTGTTTTTCTTTCCTTTTCTCATTTATGTATCTAAAAAATTTCTTGACCTTTTTTTTTTACGGACTGTGCTATTTGCTCTTCTGTGTGTGATTTGGAAGCTCTTATAACTTGCTTAGCCTCTTTCTGCCTAACCTTATAGATCATTCTGTCTTCCTCACTCTGGGCTTTTTTACAATTACTAAATGCTAACTTTTCGTTTTTTACTATTTTGGCCACATCTGCAGAGTACCACAGTGGTTTCTTGAATTTGTTTGCTTTTACTGACAAGCCTAATGCAATTTTCTGTTGCATTCAGCAATGCAACTTTTAAATAATCCCATTTCTCTTGGACTCCATTTAAATTGCTCCAGTCTGATAATGACTCCTTTACACATATTCTAATTTTAGAAAAGTCTGTTTTTCTAAAGTCTAAAATGTTTGTGTGGTGTGACTCAGTCACTGTTCTTATGTAAAACCACACTGACTGATGATCACTGGATCCTACATCTACAGTAATATCTGATACCAAATCTCCATTTGTTAACCCTAAATCTAGTATGGCCTCTTTATGAGCTGGCTCCTCAACGACTTGTTTTAGAAACAATCCCAGTAGGGAATTTAGAATATGTCTGCTCCTGGCACAAGCCGCAATTTTGGTTCACACCAATTCACATCAGTAAGATTAAAGTCACCCATGATAACTTCCCCCTTCATTGTCATTTTAGCTATTTCCTCAAGTAGTAGATTATCTAACTCTTCTATTTGTCCTGGGGGCCTATAAATCACACCTACGCGACTTACTGTGTGATTACCAAATTTTAACGTAACCCAAACAGGCTCTATGTTCGCTTCACTAACTTTTATTAGGCTAGATTTTATGATATCCTTCACATACAGGCAGTGGTGTAGCCTGGTTTTGTGCTGCCCTAGGCAGGACAAATCTCAACGGTCACTTGTAGGTAATATTTGTCGTCAAAAATAAAATAGTTGTGCGTTAAGACAAATGTTAAAAGTGATATAATAAAGTTTTTTGGGGGATTGTCGTATGATGCATGATCCAAGAAAAACTTGCAATCTGAGATGCCCTTGTCATGGGGTATATTGCTATATAGGGAGACAACATCGAGGCTGGCCAGTAAGGTGTATGGTGGAACTTGAAGGCTTTCTAATGCCAATAATGTATCCTTAGTGTCTTGGAGGTAGGATGGTAACTCTTTTACTAAGGGATGAAGGATACTGTCCACAAATTTGCTGGGTCTTTCTGTAAGGCAGCAATTACCAGAAAATATTGGTCTGCCCGGAGGGTCCATGATGTTCTTCTGGACCTTGGGTAGACAATAGAAAGTAGCCACAGTGGGGTTGTAGTTGGGCAAGAGATAATTTAATTCTTGTGAGGTAATGAGTTTTTTTTTTTTTTTAACAGCCAGGATAGAAATTTCTGGAAATTAGAATATTTAATCTATAAATGTTCTAGTTATACCTTTAGCATAGGCATAGATTAAACCGTTTACCTGAAGCAGATCTTCTCATTCTTGTCTTTCTCTGTTACATTGCAAAATGTGTCCATTCTAATATTAATGAATATAAACAGGGTTTTTCAAATTCTGCTACTTTGGTTTTAAATTTGCCTATGTTCATTTAAAGCATTATATGTAATACTATTCGTTCATAAAGAAATAATGTGACACTTTTGTTTTTCTTTTATAGGAACATCAGACTAAAACAGCTTTCTTTACAAGTCTCATCAAACAGTATAAGCAATATAAAGCTGTATGCTGTATAAGTAAGCAATATAAAGAATATTTTGGAGAACAAGAAACATGATTCCATCAGCAGACTTTTACAATCAGTTATTTTATAGAATTATTACTATGGCATGTGTTATGACTATGGCATATGAGGTTATGCTATATTGCACTATGCATTTACTATAGCTTTGTCCAATTATCTATTTATTCTGGGTAGAGAGTTTCAGTGGTTTATTTAGGGATTTATGGTTTGTTGAATTGTCAATAAAACAAATTTACATTTAATCATACATTAAGGTTCTAAAGAATGTTCTGGATAAGTAAATTATGTATATTGAAAATAGATACCTCCCTAATGGACAAAATGACATTGAATGACATGTCTAAGAGACAATCCAGCCACTTTAAACTGTGCATCTCATTGAAAAGGTTATGGTACCTGGAGTCTTCTAGTGCTGTCCCATTGCTCAGCAGTAAATCATTTTTGAATGGTGTACACTGATTGAGGGTAGTGAGGCACCTGCAGCCAGGCTTATCTCTGCTGCGCAGGCAAATGCTTAGCTAATGCTTAAAAAGACACTCAACTGAAACTTCTAATCTATCCCCTTTAAGTGCTTGGGTTATCGAGGCACTCTGGTCAGTATTACAACTTAAATGTCTTTAATAGGTTTTGTTCTACATTGATATGCTGTATTGTTTGCAATCTTTATAGTATTTGCATAAAATAAATAAATGCTTGGCAAAATGCTGCACCATAAGCCTGCCTCCTTAGCCACACCACCTCACTCCAGAAAGACTTCCTTATTATAAGTATGCACACAGTATCAGCCCCAGCAGCACTGAGTGAGCGCCTTTTAATTCAGAACCTGGCTTCAGACAGTCAGAGAAACTGCAAACAGGTAGTGATATCCTTACTATATGTCTCCCCAGGTGTCCACTGCTGCTAATGTGGGTCGTTTTGTTGTTCAGATCATTCAGTACTCTCAGTAGTTGAGATCTGTGCATGTATTTCATAAGGATGTCTTTTTCTGGAGTGAGCGGCATGACGAAAGAGGCAGGCTTATGGTGCAGCATTCTGCCAAGGATTTATTTATATTTTGGAAAAAATAAAAGTTTGAGCATGAAGAAAAAGCATATTAATGAGGACAAAATCTATGAAATGCATTAAAGTTGTAATACCGCTCAGAGTGCAGCAAGCACCGATAAGGGACAGTTATAGACTGGGTGTGTCAGCTGAGCACTCGTAGCCTATCACTGTCCTCAATCACTCATATGAATTGGTATGGCTAATCCGTAGTGTTACTGAGGATGAGCCACAACCTCCAGCAGTGGAAGAAGCTACTGGTGATAGGGGACCTACATTCAAAATCATGTAAATAGAGATTTGAATCTGAGCAGTGGTTTGGCACTAGGGATTTAAGACACAATAACACTTAAAATTAAATGAAGTAGTTGGGTGCCTACACTGTCCTTTTAGCAGTGGCTGCTCACTGTAAATATTAACTAGCATCTGGGCAGCCATATCTGCCCTATCGCTAAAAAGACTCCACTCCATGGGGATGGGGCATGCATAATAATGGTGGGATTTTGAGACTTGCCTGGGATGGCAGTGGCTGCTTAGTCACTAGTTTATATTTACAGTGAGCAGCCACTGGCTGCTAGTACTTAAAATAATTAGCCAGTGTTCATTTTGTCGACTAAAAATTTTAGTCGACTAAAATCTATTTGAGGTTGATTGGACTAAAACTACACATTCAGATGACTAAAATAAGACAAACTAAAATGGCTTTTTAGTCAAAAGACTGAATAAAACTAAATTGAAATTTGACGCTAAAATTAACACAGCACAAAGGGGCTGTGGAATGGGCAAAAGAGACAGACTAGTGCTTGGGAGAGAGACAGCTAGAGGGCCTGGAAGGACACAAAGAGAAACACAGGGGCTGGGGAAGGGGCAAAAGAGACAGACAGAGGCTTTAACTAAACCCATTAGATAAGTCGTGTTAACTAAAATCTAATTGAGATTTAGTTGACTAAAACTAAAAAAAATTCAGATGACTATAAACGACTAAAACTAAAATGGCTTTTTCGTCAAAAGACTATGACTAAATTGAAAATTGCCACCAAAATTAACACTGTAATTGGCAAATGCATTTGGCCTCTAGTCATTGTAAAATTGGTGCTTTTGTACATATTCTGGATCCTACACCTTGTATAGAGTTCGGATGTTAAAAGCACTGATTTTCAACCAGACCATGAATGCATGCAGCCGATTGGTGCAAACTTGGTCGGGCTGACTTAGTTCCAACAGGAATTAGCTTTAAATATGAGCATTGCTATTTCAGTCGAATTAGGCCATTTTCACTGGATTTTGTTAATTCGAACGAAATCCAATATTTAGTGAATTATCCTGAAAGCAACTAGAGGAATCCTGCTTGGAAATATTGTTGTATCATTGCTCTTTCTTTTTTTTTTTTTCCTGTGCACAGCAGTAGTACGTTAAGGATGTTTACGTCTAATGGGACAAGTAGCCTCCTAGAAATAAAAAAAAGTTGGAGATCCCATCCCTTGTGCTATAAATCCCTTTGGGGCACAGAGCCAACTCTGTTCTTACTTGTTCCGATTCTGTGGTTGGGGGTCGCCAAGGGCATCAAGTATCATATTTCCCACTCGGGAGGTGGGTTGTTTGAAAGGCAGCAGGCATTGCAGAATGCCAGGATCCTTCTGCCTTTATGTTCGGCGCATTCACGATGATACGCTTGGCGGGTTAATGGCCCGACAGACCTCAAGGGTGCTTGTCATAACAGGAAGGTCATGTCCACCAGACTCTGAGACCGTTTACGTTTTGAATTGTACATATTCATTATTTTGTTTTCACCTTTATCAGTATTTTTCCTCAGTTACTTAGACTTTAAGTTGTGTAGAATGTGCCACGCCACTTTTAGAGGGTAGCAGGAAAAAGGTGTGCAATATCTGCTCATTGGAAGCCATTGAAAGAAGACAAACCGAAGGATATAAATATGTTCCTGTCATGGTTTCAGGAGAATTTATCTCAAACCTTTTTGAAGGAATTTGATGTAGGCAGCAGACCATTCAAGAGGCGGAGATCTGGTTCCACACATGAGCTGTCACCTGGAAATGTTCACAAAGCTCAGTTGGTTCAGATTCTTTCAGTGATCCCTATGGAGGAGCTGTGAAAATGTAAAAAACAAAGTGGGGCGTGGCCTGACGGGCGAAGTGGATGGTCGCACTGTGCTGTGCTCCGCGCACCGACGGCCCGACAGAGCATAATTTAAGCAGTACCGGCTACCAAATTCACTACCCACGACCCTACAGACATGGCAGCACAAAAGGCCAAGAAACAGGCAGAAAAAACTGATCAGGCCGGCTTTTTCGCGACCCGGGCGTCGACGCCAAAATCAATGGGCCTAGCCGAACAGGACCAAGATGGCAACGGAGGTAATGACACGCAGCCACTATCAACCTCCCCAAGGGCGCAAAACCTGCCAGTGACCCAGGACTACTTACAGAAGTGCCTAGACAATATGTCCAGCAAGATCCTGGAAACCCTGCAAGGCACACTGAGGGAGATGAAAAGAGAGATGCAGGAGCTGGGGGACAGGACGGCACATGTGGAGAACCGCATGGAGAAACAAGTCACGGTGCATAATGAAATGGCAGAACATGTGAAAGATCTGCAGCAACAACTTGACCTCACACAGAGGAAGGTCATGGACCTAGAGGACCGCTCAAGACGGCAAAACCTCAGGATCAGAGGCATCCCTGAGGAGGTGAAGCAGCAGGACCTACACGAATACCTAATGGGGTACTTTAAGGCACTAGCATCAGACATACCAGCTGAAATTCTGCTGCTGAATAGACACCACAGGGTGCAAAAGCCGGTGTTCCTACCACAAGATACCCCCAGGGATGTACTAACACACTTACAGTACTTCCACGCTAAGGAAGCACTACTCCGAAGCCACAAGAACAGGCAGAGAGCTGCCACAGAAGTACAAGAACATCAAAATGTTCACCGACCTCTTTGCAGCCACATTGCAGAAAAGAAAGGAATTTAGGGAAACGACAGAAACCCTCCGCTACAACAACATACAGTACAGATGGGGATTCCCTATCCGCCTCCTAATCAGAAGAAATGGTACGGTGACTACAGTGAACACACCGGAAGAAGGCCGGAAACTGCTGCGCAGCTGGAACATTATGCCGAATATGGAGAGGAAAGACATGACCACAGCGCTAAGAATGCCTCCAGAATGGAAAACGAACAAGAAATGAACTAGCACAGACACTTTTTCCTTCTGCTAATACCACCGTAGCAGAGCCTGATGTCTGGCAGACAGCAAGGCGCAAGTATTCCCAGCACTACATGTTTATCTATGTATACCCAAGACAATACACGTACCACACACAAATAGGCCAAGAAGGCTTGACGAGCACATAAACCATACACACAATCACACACACACACAAAAAAACCCCCCCCAAAAAAACGTAAACTGTGCCAGTACGCCTCACGCCACAGCAATAGCTGGTAAACACACAGCGCAAACAGCGAAACGCACACGAAAACAGCAATGGAAAGATTCAGGCACCCTAGATGCAACCAACCGCACCACACCTTAAAAGTTGACAGAGTAACCACGCTCACACCTTGCACTATCATGGTAGTGCAACACCCTTCAGTGGGAAATGTATGCTAAAATGTTTGTTACTGTATACATTGTTTTGTTCTATTCGAATGTTATGTATGATGTTTGTATAGCTAATTCCCTAGCCCTACCCCCTTCCATCCCAATCCCAACCCCAGGCATTGCAGAGCCCCACAGTGGGAACCGCGGGGGCAACACATACACGGACCCCTTGGGGAAACCGTATATCACCATGGTGTAACATACACTGACAGAAACACCCAATACCTACAAAAACTATTCGTTAAAATATGAAAATATACAGCCACAATGTTAAGGGGTTGAACACCCCAGTAAAAAGATACTGCCTAACTAGAGATCTACACAAAATACATCCGGACATAGTATGTATACAAGAAACGCACCTTAAAAAGGCGTCCAACCTAGCACAAGCACAGTACCCAGTACAATACCATAACACAGCCACATCTAAAACTAAAGGGGTCTCTATACTGATGAGCAAAGATGTATCCTTCAAGCCCCTGTACGAGGACACAGATATGCAGGGGAGGTACATAATACTGACGTGTGAGATCAACAACTTAGAACACACATTTGTAAACATTTACGCACCAAATGCCAACCAGAGAAACTTCCTGCATAAAATCATAACGCGCCTAGCGCAAGTTCAGAGGGGTATCACGATCATATGTGGAGACTTGAACCACATACTAGACCCCAAAAGAGACACAACGGTAAGACCAAACACACCAAGAAACGCAACCCTCACATGAGAATGCAAACCCTTAGTTCGACTACTTAGCGAACACGACCTATATGATGCATGGAGGGTATTACATCCGGAGGAAAGGGATTATACATTTTTTTTTTTCCCAGGTCCACAACACTTATTCCCGGATAGACGGGTTCTACATAAAGGGCACATTCCTCAACCAACTAACAGCATGCTCGATAGGCAACATCACATGGTCTGACCACGCCCCAATTACTTTAGAACTACAAGATGCATATGACTATAAACACAGGAGTCCCTGGAGACTGAACGAAACCCTTTTGCATGACTCCCAATTCTGTGAAAACCTCACCACTGACATGCACAGATACTTTACCAATAACCAAACACCCGGAATAACACCGGATACCCTATGGCAGGCACACAAGCAGGTTATCAGGGGATCCCTTATAGGCAGAGCGAGCGCACTGAAACGTGAGTCCCAAACTAAAACAAAACACTGGCTAAAAACACTGTATACTCTCAACAAACAAAATCAGCTGACACCGACTCCAGAACTTAAACAACAAGATCCCATTCATCCAAACTCACACAGAGGAAAAGAAGGTGACGCCCAAAGACATTGGGGATGTCTTTGCGGATTACTACTCATCCCTATATAATCTTGGGAAAGACGCTGACACAAGCCAACCAACCATAGACAAAATAAAGAAATACCTAGCAGGGGTCTCTCTACCGTCACTGACTGAGGAACAAATAGCTATAATACAAGACACTATCACAGTAGAAGATGTGCTCCAGGCTATATCCCGCCTACCGAGCGGGAAAGCCCCAGGCCCAGACGGGTTCCCCAACAATTACTACAAAATATTCGCACACACTCTAGCCCCGCACTTAGCAAACGTATTCAATGCAATCACTCTCAAAGCAGATGCACCGACAGAGATGCTGAGCGCACACATAGTTACGCTGCCCAAACCAGGGAAACCACCCACATGTAGCCAAAACTTCAGACCAATCTCACTACTTAACACGGACGTTAAACTTTATGCAAAAGTACAAGCTAATAGAATAGCCAACATAATCCCGACACTAATTCATGATGATCAGGTGGGCTTTACAAAAGGCAGACAAGGATCAGACAACACCAGGAAGGTAATTGACTTGTTGTATAGCCTGATCGGAAGAGGGGAGGGGGGGATACTTCTATCATTAGATGCAGAGAAGGCTTTTGACAGGCTCAATTGGCCTTTTATGCAGGCAGTACTTGGTAAATCCAGGTTCCCCCCAACCTTTATTAATGCCGTCCGAGCACTCTATTCGCACCCCACAGCCAGAGTCCTAAACTCTGGGTTTATATCCAAACAAATACACATCACCAATGGGTCACAACAGGGGTGCCCCCTATCACCGCTACTCTATATCCTGGCACTGGAACCCCTGGCAGCGGTCATTAGAGCCGACCCAGACATACAAGGAGTACACCTGGGGGATAACGAATACAAGCTTAACTTGTTCGCGGATGATATCCTAGTAACGCTAACGCACCCCATAATCTCCCTACCAAAGCTGATGGCAAGAATCCAAGAGTACGGGGCAGGGTCCTATTACAAGTTAAATGTAATGAAAACCCAAGCCCTAGGAATAAAATTAGGTGGCAATCTTGCAAACAGACTGGTGAGGGCATTCCCCCTAGACTGGAGACCACCTAATGTTCTTGGGCCTCAAAATAACCAAGAACCCAGCCCACTTGTTCTGACACAATTATGCCCGAATGCTGAAAGACTTTTCAGACACCCTACACACCTGGAGGGGTAGGTACCTGTCGTGGCTGGGCCGCGTAGCAGCAGTCAAAATGTCACTCATCCCCAAGATACAGTGCCTTTTCCGTACGCTCCAAATACCCATACCAAAACAATACCTGAAAAACATGCAACACACTATCAACTCGTTCATTTGGGAGGGAAAAAAAGCGAGAGTAGCAGCAGGGACGATACATCGATCAGTTAAAAATGGATTACCCAACCTAACAGCATACCACAGGGCAGCCTACCTACATAACATCACCCAAATCAACCGGCTTACAGACGTCCCACAGTGGGTGACGATTGAAGATAGCAAAGCACCACAAAGTGATCTACGGTCACTAATGTGGAAACAGACAGACAACAACTGGGGGCTGGACGCTCTCCTACCAACTACCAAAACCCTACTGCGAGTATGGGACAAAATGAAACACGAATTAGTGTCAAGACCGACATTACCCCTAGCAATGCCAATGCACACTATTGGACTGGAGATCCCTACCTTCCCTTGGGACATGTGGGTGAAGGGTGGTATACACCACGTGTACCAAGTTATAGACAGGGGTCGAATACTACCATTCCCAGACATACAAGATAGGTACAACCTGCCCTCTAGAGCAGTATTCTCCTACCTCCAGCTCAAATCTTATGTGTTGGACAAAGCAGGGAAACAAACGGACGCCACCGCTACGACACACATGACAGAATTCAAAAAACAATGCACAGGAATCACACCACTCAAGAAAATAATGTCCTGGGGATACCAGAAACTACTAGCGCAACAATCACACACACTAGGAGAGATAAAGCTGTCATGGCAGCGGGATATAGGCAGAATAATAACAGATAGGGAATGGGAGAGAGCATACATGGCCCACAAGGGGCTTACAGCATGTGCTACACACCTGGAACTACAACGCAAAATCTTATACCGCTGGTATTTAGTACCGGACAAAATATGGCCTACAACCAGCAATATATGCTGGAGGTGTGGGAGGGAGGTGGGTACAATGATACACGTCTGGTGGACATGCACCGTACTCAGACCATTTTGGGAAGGGGTAGCAAATATACTGCAGAAGATACTGCCAGCCCCAAGGGTAGATGAACCACAGGTGTGTCTCTTATTTATCTTACCAGAAAAAATACCAAAACAAGTCAAGCTGATAATATACCACACACTAATCTCAGCTAATCTAGTGATATCCAGACATTGGAAAAAAACAATGACCCCACCTATAGAGGATCTCGTAAAGCAGGTAGACCAAAACTGGGCGTACGAAAGAATGGCCAACACGCAATTCAGAGCACGAAAAGGGGTACTGGAGGCACACGACCTGTGGGTAAAACATATTATAAGCTCACCCACCATAACACATAACCACAACTACTCCAGCGTGACCAACAGCCCTTGAAAAATAGGTTAAAAAGGCATCACGAGGAGTGCCAACAGGCAAAGACACAGCAACCAAGCAACGCATAGCAAACCCAAGATATGACACCCAGAGGTAGCCAAACTACGAAACACCAACATACCTAGCGGCGGGAGGGAACCGCAATGCTTGACAAGGGTAAAAAGCAGAACCAGACACTTGCACAAGCGCCCCCCATCCATGACGAACCTACACACAAAGGAACCCCACGAAGACAATTAGACACAAACAAAGAACTGCACACAACCCAACGCCTTAACTATGGCCAAAACCGACAAAAAGGGAACCGATCAACAACACAGCATGTATTTGTAAATTGTACATGGAAAACTTCTGTAAAACATCAATGACTCTCTGGAACCAAGGAAATCCATGTTGCGCATGTATGTAGATGTTTATCCATGCTGTACATGTATTCATATGATTACACATAGCTATTGTCTGTGTATTCAGCCTGCAATATGCCCCCCCCTCTTTCCTCGTTCTGTATCCCCATGTTTTTGACCTATGACAAAATAAAAAATTGTCAGTTGCAAAAAAAAAAAAACAATAAAGTGATTCCACAAAGGTGTCATAGAAGTAGTTCTGAATGCTCAAAGGTTCCAAGGTGTATATTCAAGCATATTTGTTACACAAAAGCCAGGCAAATCCTTCAGACCAATTCTAGATCTAAATACTCTCAATAATTGTATTCAGCACCAAACCTCCAAAATAGAAACAATTGCTTCAGCAACATATGTGTTACAAACAGGAGATTTCTGGCATCGCTGGATCTAAAAGATGCCTATTTTCATATTCCAAGAAATTTTTAAAATTCATCATGAGAAATTTGAGGAAAACCCTACATTTTCAGTCTGTGGCTCTGCCATTTAGCATTGCTACTGCACCAAAGATGTTTAAGAACATTTTAGCTCCAATTGCTGCATTTCTACGAGCAAAGGGAATCCTTATTGTTCCATGCATGGATGATTGGTTCATAAAGGCAGAAACCAATGTCCAGTTAAAGGCTTATCTGAAGGTCAATCTTCTACACTACAAGAGAACGGTTGGGTAATAAACTGAGAAAAGTCTATTCTTCACCCTTCGGAAAAGGTTTTGTTTTTTTAGTCTAGGAATCGACTCAAAAAGTTTACGCGTTCTGCTTCCGGCTCAGAAGAGGAGCAGCAAAGTTACCTCCAGTCTTCCAAACAACCCTATTTATTCCATCAGACAGGCAATGAGCTTGTTGGGTTTGCTGGCATCCAGTATCCCAGCAGTAAAATGGTCAAAGGCTTAAAGCAGACTCCTCCAAGGATAAATTTTACGTCACTGAAACACTGAAGATTATGTCTCTCGGTTCACACTTGAGAAGACCTAACCTGGTGGAAAAAGTAAAAATTCGTTTATCAGGGCCTGTCTTTTACACAAACAGCTTGTGTAAAAATTAATACAGATACTTCTAAAACCAGATGGTGTGCACATATTGATTCCTTAATTGCTCAAGGAAGTTGATTGGCATAGAAGCCCTTGTATAATTCAAGCCATACAGATTCAATCAGACAACATCACCATGCTAATATATTTAAGCAAACAAGGAGGAACAAGAAGCCAATCCCTGGCTGATTTATGTGCACTCCTTTTTGCATTGGCAGAAAGGTACCTTCTCAGCGATCAACATAAAGGGTATAGAAAATCAACTAGCTAACAATCTCAACAGGCATCGCTGGAAACAGACAAACTGGTCTCTCAGCCATCAGGTTTTCAACACACTGGTCAAGAAATTTGGATTACCGGAAATAGACCTCCTGGCACAAGCTTTAATCAGAAGGTTCCAATGTTTGCTTCTATTTAAAGACACTACAAAAAAGACAATACAATCCAGATATCCTAGTCTGTTTCTCTGTAAAATTGACATTTCAGATAGTGTACATTTTTCCCCCAGTGACCATGATTCAAATTCTAGCATGGTCAAGCTAAGGGCATGGAAGCTACAAGGTTGATCCTGTTGGAGAAGGGTAATAAAGAACAGGTAGTCAACCTTCTCTTACATTCTACAAGAAAGTCTACATTGAATATATACTTGCACATATGGCATAAATTCCTGATATGGTGTCGTCTGCAAAATATTGTCTCCTTCATTACTCCTGTTCAAGTAATCTTAGAATTTCTTCAGGAACGTTTTAAGTTGTCTTTTTCCTTCCACTGTAAAAGTTCAAATCTCTGCACAAAGTTATTTTTTCACATAAGAAAGTTCACTTATGAAACACTTATTAGAAGATTCAGCAAAGCAAAGTGGAAACTTTGTCCTCTGAAATGTCCTCTAATTCCACGTTGGGATTCTTCCCTGGTATTAAATGCATTATGTGCTGAACCATTCCAACCATTAAAATTCTTGACACTAAAATGAGTGTTTGGTTGCTTTAACTTTAGTAAAAAGAGTGTGAAAGTCAAACATTTTTTTTGCAGCACCAGAGTTCATGATATTCCACCACAATAAGGTTGTCACAAGTCCATAATCTTCCTTTCATTCAAAAGTATGGAACAAATATAATCTCAATCAAGCTCTCATATTGCTAACTTTTTGTCAGAATCCAGCCTCATCCAAATATGCTTATTTCCATTGTTTGGAGCTTAAAAGCGCATTGTTCAACTATCGTGACAGAGTCAAGAATTGGTGTAAATCAGATCATTACCAAGGGCACTCTATGGATCTTCAAGCATCCAGAGCTTTCTTTGCTCGATGGATTAAAAGGCAATACATCGGCTTATTCTTCACAAGGTGGGTTTCTAACCTCCAAAGTTAAGGCTCAGTTCACTAGAGTCTTCACTTATTTCCACTTAATGAACAAAAAAAGCTATGTTCACTCTAGAGGATATCTGCAAGGCTTTCATCAAGCACTACAGGCTAGACATCTCTGCCTTAGCGGAAGCATAATTTGGGCAGAATATTTTGCAAGCAGCTGTATCTTAATTCCCACCCTTCAGGCTTTTTCTTGCTATCTCCCTAATGTACTGACCTTATACACAGGTAAAAAAAAGGAACTTTACCATACCATAAATAATTTTTTATTAGTATCAGTGGCAGTGCAAATATACTCTCTCTTCTTAAATAAAGTTTGATATTTCTTTGCAGTATACTGTTGTGGTGTATTCTTTTGTGTGACTGAGTTGATACTGTGCCCTGAAGGTATTTATTAGCTCTAACTTTTTTTTTATATTTAGGAAACTACTCGTCTCATTAGACTTGAACATACCTAACATACTGCCGCTGATACTAAAATATTTACGCCAAGTAAAATTTCTGTTTTCCCCCCTATTGGTCACTTGATACATGAATGAAATTAATATTTATGAGCTGTCGCCTAATCGCCATTCAATGTCCTTCCACTTCTTGATTGGACTGGAGATGCAGCCCACATTATTCTGAAGACCTCTTACCCTTCATGGCAGGCTGCTTATTTGCCCTCTCTTAAAAAAATAAATAAAAATCAGCTACCTCTATATTCCAGTCCAAGCATATTTATATATTAACAAGTCATTTGCTCAATTTTATGTGCACATGGTGCTTTGGAGATATGGATTTTGGCAGAACAGACTATCACAACGTCCTAAATGCGGATGAATCTCAATTCAGCTAAAACCGAATGCTTAAGTCAAGTAGGCATCTAGTCCACTTAATAATCAGTTACATACTATATATCAGTGAAAAAAGGTGAAGTATTTGGATATAGTTCCACAGGCACACTTTGATTATGAATATTTAAATTTTATGCAATTATTTACATTGTTTGAGCAAGTAACATATTGTAGGGATTTACCAATCTCTTAGGATGCATAATATTTTTAATGTTAATGCAAAATTATTTGGATTATTGACTTTGTATCTTTTCCCTGGTCCAAATCACAGAGGGATACATTATATATTTCTAGCACATACTTTTATTTTATTTTATTTTTTTACAGTAAGCAAGCACAGTTATTCAATAAAGCCGTCCACAATAATGTCATTCATAAACAGCAGTATGTAGTCACTATTTGGCAGACAGGATCTTCTTGTGTTCGTTATTAGTCACATAGTAACACAAATATTATGTTCAGTTACACATCAAACTGTGAGAATAGTTTTAGGAACAGTATCCTATTTTGCTTCATGCAAAGGGTAGTTTTGTACACTGTGAACTATAGATATTTTTACACTTTTAATTTGTCTTAATTCACTGGTAGTTACCCTCTTTTACTTTTAGTGCACAGGTAGGCATTTTACTGTGTGTTTTAAATGCAAGTTAGGGCTTTATTTTTATATGAAACATAATTATATAATTCCTCATTTAGCATGGACGGACAAATAATAATTTGTGCAAAATTAATCAAAACCTATAAAAAATGTTCCTAAATCGTGTTGGTGCTTAGAGAGTGCCCCTTTAAACTAAAACAACTTCTTACGGAGACTGTGATGTCTTATATAAAATTGATACATGGTAATAAAATATTTAAAATTTAAACAGGAACAGAGTATTCAGTTTCTCCATAAATACATCAGTGCAGCCATCTATCTACCTCCTCATTTACATCACCTTGAGTTTTGCCATAAAGAGACTGAAGTTTGTCTAATGAAATATTAGCTCCATCATTTTTTATTTATTTTGAATTGCATTTAAAGCAGCAGCAAATACACATTCAGTGCTCAATCAGATCAAAGCCCACATGATAAGAAATTCCACTTATAAAGGAGCAATCTTCTACAAGCTTTGGTGCTTCTTCTATTGATGCCTCCTATTCCTCTGTGGCCTTCTGGACTATTGCTGACCTCAGAAACCAAAAAAGTTATGGCAGCACTTTTTAGGGGGCGGCAAAAAATGGCACCCCCAAATGCCCAGGCAAATGCCTTGTTAGCCTGAGTGTATGTCTTCCAGTGTGTGTCTATGAGGGAGCCTGTGTGTCTCTGTCAGTGTGTGTGTATGTCTGCCACTGTGTGTCTGTGAGGGAGCCTGTGTGTCTGAGTGATTGTATGTGTCTGTGAGTGAGTGAGTGTGTTTGTCTGTCAGTGAATGTGTGTGTCTGGGTATGCCTCTCAGTGTGTGTGTCTGTCATTGAGGGAGTGATTGTGTGTGTCTGTCAGGTTCTGTCAAATCAGTGAGTGTGTGTGTGTATGTCAGTGTATCTGAGAGTATATGTCTGTCAGTCAAAGTGTGTGTTAGTCTTTAACAGGCATCGGTGTGGCCCTGACAGGAAGGGGTGGGGCAAATTTAAATTAGCGGGTGCCCGAGTTCCATCATGCCTGGGGCAGCACAGATCCAAATTATACCACTGCTCATGCATTAGGTCCCCCCATCAGATGACGTTGGAGGAGGTGGACCGTAAACCAGCACTGGGGGACATTGACACTGGAATCAGAAGTGAATCTGGAGGAGGTTGAGGAACTATTCCACAGGAAGAGGCTGCAACAGCTGGCTTACTGACAACCACAAGAGACGTGTTGTCTGCCAAATTTAAACATTGCTGTTTACAGCACGGAAATGTAGTTTTGGAGATTATAGTGTTCCTATAATGAACAGGTCATCAGAGTGCGTTTTGCATTGGTTGTGTGTATTGTATATTGTCATCAGATTTCCTCTAACACTCTAGCTTTCTAGTATAAACCATTTCATTTTTTTCTAGTTGTCATTATTAGATTTCACCATCACCCTTATTTATTTTGTAGCCTGCTTCAGTACATTTTCTTCTAACATGGGTGTATACCGGATGGCCCTTGGGATTTATTTAACAGGTTTAGCACTTTGCCCTGTGGCAGTTAATCATATGTCTGAGTTAAACATTTTCAATTCAGTTGAACAAACATTAATTTATTTTCAGATATAAGTAATAATGATCTCTGTAGTAGAAATCTGTCACTGTGCTGCAGATCTGTGAAATATACTCTTGTGATTTCAAAAGGTGATAAAGAATATCAAGTGGCCAATAACTCCAAAAGAATGTGGGGTGAGCCAGTATTGAATAGGAGCTCAGTCCACGATTGATTCTGGATAGCAAATGGTGTAACCACTTTTACTGGGAGGGCAGCAAGGCAGTCCTGCAAACATAACCACTACAGCGGGCTTTAGAATATGGTACTTGGAGGGTTTCTTTAATGCATTATTTGGAGTTAATTATATAGCACAGTGTGTGGGTATTGCTATGCGTATATGGTTTTAATATGGTGGGTACAAGTGTAATGCTACAAGGCTTACCATGAGGTAGCCCTGTTCTTTTGCCATTTATTGCTCCTTTTCAGCTCTGCACTTACATTTGGTATTTCTACACTGCATGTTGGCAGTTTATATAGCATGGTGTGTGTGTGTTTGTTCCTCTAGCTTATCTATAGTAATTATTTGCCTTCTTTAACTCTTGCGCCTCGTTTTTTGCTCTCCATAAGTTTAAAGGGCAATCAAGACGTGGACCCCTTGCTCACGGTGCCTAGAGAGAAATCAGCTATGCCTCACTGATGATGCCTAACAAGACTGAAACGATCGTCTGGGGTTGCTGTGTGTCTCGTGCAGACGGAACTTGCTGGCATTTTGGATCTGGACTGCCCTTATTGGTGGGACCAGTCTGATATGTTTCGGAGATGTTCTCTCTGTAATGGCACAAGATGAGCTAAAACCAGCTTGAGATCTGAGCGTGGACCCACCGAAGGGCAAGCTATTTATTTCAGCTGCTACCCGTTCTCAGTATTCTCTTGCGCCCCGTTTTTTGGTCTCCATAAATATTTGCCTTCTTTAACCTAATTTTGTGATTTTGATTTAGGCCTCAATTTTTGAAAAAACGTTTATGATGATATTCAAAATATAATATTTATATATATATATAAAATTCAAAATATAATATTCAGAGTTTTAGTGCATAACTCTGTGTTATATCAGCAGGAGAGCCATTATTTATTACCCTAGTATCAATTATCTCATGTCACAAAGAAAAAATAGACATTCATCTACTATGTTGAAAATGTCTAACTTGACAAAAAAATTGGTAGGCATATTTGCTACATGGATACATTTAGTTTTGTTTCCTGAGGAATAGAGATGCAGTTTAGTTTGATTCTAGTCAGCAGTGGCACCAAGGTCCACAAGCTGCAGGGGGCCTATCAGGTGGCCCCCACTCTTAGGGCCACTTCATGAGTATGTTGGATCAGAGGCTAGGTTGGGCACCATAGCTCTTTAGCAGCACAACTAACAGAGCACCACGTGACGAGAAAAAAAGAAAGTAGACACAGACTGGAGAAGGGGACAAAGGATGGAACCTGTGCCAGGCTCTAGTTCCAGACTACCATCTGCCTCAAGCAGCAGCAGGATCCCATTAGACCTCAGGAAAGCCACGTTCCTGACCCCAAAGATATGGAAATACGAGAGTGACCACACATATGGAAATTATGACTTATCTATGTGTGTGTATTTGTCAATCTATGAGTCAGCATGTGTATCTTTGTTCATCAGAGAGTGTATAAGTTTGTATCTGTGTGTGTGTTTGCTTTTATGTTATGTGTGTGTCAATGTGTATGTATGTCTTTGTCAGTATGTATGTGTCAGTGTTTGCATATGTACATTCATCCCAGCATTCAAACCAAGCATTACACACAAGTACGCCGCTGCTTTCAAATGGTAACAGTACATGGAAACACCCAGGGCCGGCCTTAGGGGTGTGCAAGCTGTGCGACTGCACAGGGCGCCACGGAGCAGGGGGCGCCATGCGGCCGACACAGCTCACACATGGCCGGGTGACAGCTGTGCAGGGGAGCTAATGCAAGTACCTGTGTGGAGAATTTTACTATTCTCCACCAGGGTATATGAAAAAAATAGCGAGGCAGGGGTGCGGAGCTTAATGAGAGGAAGAGGCCTGGCTAATATGCCAGCGGAGGTGGGACTAAAAGCTACCAGAAGCCCCTGGTAATACCTGCTGCACAACTAGAATGCAGGAACTACACTGCCTCCATTCTTCCCTGCAAGCCCATAATGGTAAGTGTGTGTGTGTGACTGTCTGTCTGTGTGTATGACTGCATGTGTGCGTGTGACTGTCTATGTGTGTGTGTGTGACTATGTGTGACTGTCTGCCTGTGTGTGACTGCCTGTTTGTGACTTTAACTGTGTGTGACTGTCTGCCTGTGTGTGACTGTAACTGTGTGACTGACTGTGTGTGACTGTAACCGTGTGAGTATCTGCCTGTGTGTGCCTGTAACCGTGTGACTGTCTGCCTGTGTGTGACTGTAACTGTGTGACTGTAACCGTGTGAGTATCTGCCTGTGAGTGACTGTAACCGTGTGTCACTGTCTGTGTGTGACTGTAACTGTGCCTTTGTGTGTACCTGTGTGTGTGACTTTGCCTGTGGGGGGAGGGGGGGGAGTATGCACTCACATACTCCATACATTCTAGCACACAAACACTCCTCACAAATACAAATTTTAGATCCACAACTGGTCAAGTATTGTAGGAGTTGTACAACAGATTTGATCTATCTGTTGGCAACGCTTGCATGAGAGGGGCCCATAAAAATCCTTGCACAGGATTCTCCCTACATTCATTCCTGCATTACTTCTAAGTTTCACTATTGTTTTAGATTAGGATTTATAAATAATGGAATTTGTTCGTAAAACAGTGAGCTGTGCAAATTTTAAATAATGTGCAAACTGTGAGCTATATCAGTCTTTTCCCACTTGTCGCAATGTGCTGTATAGTGAATAGACCTCACAATTAATTTAATCCAAATGCACATAACTAAACAGGCCTGGACTGTATTGAAGATGTAGGTCAATTAAAATATTTATAGACTGTATCAACCAATAAATCTTAAAAAGATTCAAATTAAACAAGGGAGTTATTTGCCAAATAGTGGAATGAAGTATGCTCTTGCAATACTTAGGGCAGAACAATGTGACAGAGTACAACTTAAAGGCACACTATAGTCACCCAGACCACTTCAGCGGCACTTGCCGTGCATGCGCATTCGGCTCCACTGACGTCATACGAGGGGAGAGGTCACCTTCGCCGAGGGAGCCCGGCACTGGATTAAAGTAAGTAACTGAATGGGGTTTTAACCCCTTCAGCGCCACAGGAGGGGAACCCAGAGGGTGGGG